AGAATACGTAAACCCACTGTTCACTCTTTACACATAGTTTTTGAGGTTCCACAAGCCCCTGCATCATTGCTCCCAGGTAGAAGGTAGCAAGGAGGGGTGGCGTGGCCCCCTGGTCACTGGGCGACCTGGTTACCTCTCACCCATCCTGGGAGTCCCCTCACCCTGCAGTTTTTTTCTTTTTGCGCCAAAGGGTCAGTAGGTTGAGATAGAGTTCTTGTTTTGAATGTGTGCACACTATCAGGTAAAAGGCTTCTACTAGTGATAAGCTTCCCTAACTGGATAAGTTATAGAGCTAAGTACATACGGAAAGGAGTCGAGAGACCATTAGCTGTCCCGCCCCAGTGTCACGTGATCGTGTCTGCCCGGCCCCGCCCCGCCCCGCCCCGCCCCGCCCCGCCCCGCCCCTCCGCTGAGGCCGCTCACGTGCCGTACGTGCTGACAGGACGTACTAAGGCAGCAGCGTGCACGTGGTGCCGTGGGCGGTGCTGATGTTGTGCCGCCGTTTCCCTTTTTCTCTCAAAGCGCTCGTTTGATTTTTGTGGCCTTGTTGAGGAGTGCCAGGAACTTTCCCTTTTTACTCCTGACACTATCAAATTGGAAAATAGGACCAGTTGCCACCAGACCGCATCACATCTCTCAGTGAGGAAAAACACCTGACAACCCCAGAACGCGTTTGCCTATGAAGGGCACTGTTCACTTAATACTGACCTTGGAGTCGCGGAGCTCTTTATAGTCTGTATGAATTAAAGTACTTTCTAATGTATTTAAGTATTAAAAACTGATATAGTTCAAAGAATTGTTTTCAACTGAAAATTTTATTCCAGTAGTTGCAAAATGTGAAAGATGCCCTATATTCTTTATTAAAGCAGAAATGTGGTTTTGCCTTACATTGAATTCCTGTTTTCTTCTATGTCATATATATCACATGCCATTTTTTTTCTTTTTAAATTTAATTTTATTTCATCATGATAAGTATAATCTTTCATTCCCATTCCCCCTTCTCTCAGGTGGGGACCATCAGTTTGTTCTCTAGAGTTAAGAGTTTAATTGGTTTGTCTGTCTCTCTTTTCCTTTGCTCGTCATGTTTCTTAAATTCTACATATGAGTGAAATCATATGGTATTCATCTTTCTTGAACTGACTTATTTCGCTTAGCATTCTAGCTCTATCCACACTGTTGGAAGTGGCAGGATTTCATTCTTCTTTATGACTGAGTAATATTCCATTGTGTATATATTCTCTTTATCCATTCATCTGTTGGTGGACACTTGGGCTGCTTCCAAAACTTGGCTATTGTAAATAACACTGCAATAAACCTAGGGGTGCATGTATCCCTTTGAATTAATATTTTTGGGATAAATAACCATTAGTGTGATTACTGGATAGTAGGGTAGTTCTATTTTTAATTTTTTGAGGAACCTCCATACTGTTTTCCACAGTGGTTGCACCAGTTTGCATTCCCACCAGCTATGCAAGAAGGTTCCTTTTTCTCCATATCCTTACCAACACTTGTTTCTTGATTTTTAGCCATTCTGAGAGGTGTGAGGTGAGACCTCATTGTATTTTGATTTGCATTACCTTGATGATGACTGATGGTTGAGCATCTTTCATGTGTCTGTTGGCCATCTGGATGTCTTTGGAGAAATGTCTTTTAATGTCTTCTGCCCATTTTTAAATTGGATTATTTGTCTTTGGGTGTTGAGTTGTTCAGTTCCTTATTGGATGTGTCATTTGCAACTATCTTCTCATATTCAGTAGGTTGCCTTTTAGTTTTGTTGATTCTTTCCTTTGTGCAGAAATTTTTTATTTTGATGTAGTCTGAATAATTTATTTTGCCATTTTCTTTCTTAAATTTGTTACCTTTGGGAGGAGTGATGGAGTGTTTGAACTTGAATTTTTTTTTTTAAAGATTTTATTTATTTATTTGGTACAAATAAATTTTATTTTATTTTATTTATTTATTACAAGCAGGGGGAATGTGAGAGAGAGAAGCAGGCTTCCCGCTGAGCAGGGAGCCCGATGCAGGGCTCGATCCCAGGACCCCGGAATCATGACCTGAGCCGAAGGCAGACACTTAACGGCTGAGCCACACAGGCGCCCCTGAACTTGAATTTTTTTTAAACAACTGTGTTGGGAAATAGTTCACATATGCATACTTTACCATTTTTTAAAAATTTTATTATGTTAATCACCATACATTACATCATTCATTTTTGATGTAGTGTTCCATGATTCATTTTTTGCGTAGAACACCCAGTGCTCCATTCAGTACGTGCCCTCTTTAATACCCATCACCAGACTAGCCCCTACCCCACCCCCCTCCCTTCTAGAACCCTCAGTTTGTTTCTCAGAGTCCATAGTCTCTCATGGTTCCTCTCCCATTTAAAATACACAATTTAGCAGCTTTATTATTTTCAGAATGTATAACCATCATCACAATCTAATTTGAAAACATTTTCATCATTCCCAAAGTAACCTTGTGTCCAAGTCATTCCCCATTTATACCACCTCCAGCCCTGGACAATCGCTACCTTCATCTTTTTTCTGGGTATTCACCTATTCTGGGTATTTCGTATAAATGGAATCGATATGTGGCTGTATTAGTTTCCCAGTGTTATAACAGGTTACCACAGAGTGGGTGACTTACAACAATAGAAATTTATTTCCTTATAGTTCTGGAAGCCAGAAATCCAGATCATGGGATTGGCAGGGTTTGTTCCTTCTTGGGGCTCAGAGGGAAGATCTGTTTCTTGCCTCTCTCCTACCTTCTAGTGGTCACTGAAGCTCCTTGACCTTCCTTGGCTTGTAGATGCATTGCTTCCATCTGTGCCTCTGTTTTCACACGGCCCCTCCCCTGTTCCTGGGTGTCTTCACGTGGCCTTATAAGGCACCGGTCATTGGATTACAGCCCTCTGTAAGCCAATATGAGCTCATCTTAACTAATTACATCTTCAGGGACCCTATTTCCAAATAAGAATCCATCTGAGGTTCTGGTGAACATGAATTTTGGGTAGACACTGTTCAACCCAGGACATTGGCCTTTGGTGTTTGGCTTCTTCCACTTATCATAATTTTTCAGGGTTTATCCATGTTGTAGGTTATATCAGAATCCTCTCTTGTGGCTGAATAATATTCCATTGTGAGGATACCACATTTTATCCATCCCTTCATCATTTGACGGACAGACACTTGGGTGGTTTCTACATTCTGGCTGTTGTGAATAATGCTGCTATGAAAATTCATGGACACGTTTTTGTGTGGGCATATGTTTTCATTTCTTTTGGGGTGGATTTAACTGAATCTGTCAATTATATTGTACATATTTATGTAACTTTGCAGGAATGGCTATTATTAAATTCTGGCTCATTTTCTACCTCTTGAATTTGCCTTTGTATTTCAGTGACTTTTCAAATGACTCACCTTTGAGCGATTATGTTTTGCAAGAAACATGCTTTGAACTCATTTCATGGAAGTCTGTTGTTAACATTAGAAAGAAAGCTATCTAGTCTTTCATGCTAAACTCTGGTTATATGCTGATATGTGCTCTTTTTTGTTTTTATAGATAAGTAATAACATTTAATTTTTTAACCATTTACAAAGTATTTTCTCTTTGTGATGTCCTGTAAGCTTCCTTGTACTCCTGAGAGATCTCCTGAGGCTGCTCTTTTCTGGCTGCTAAACTTGGGATCCAGTTGATTTCCTTTTAAAAGCGCCCTTGGTACTAACTGTGACACAGGACGATGTCCTTCAGTTTCACAAATCTGTTGTTTCTATGGTGCTCTTTTCTTCAGGTGCAGGGAACATTTATTAACTACCAGGGAACATTCATGAGCTTAGACCAGTGGTTCTCGAACTCCAGCCTGCACCAGAATCACCTGGAGGGCTGGTTAAAGCAGAGTGGTGGGTCCCACTACAAGTGTCTGAGTCTATAGGTCTGGGGTGTAGTGCGGCCTGAGAATGTGCATTTGTAACGAGGTCCCAAGTCTTGCTGGTGCTGCTGGTCCCAGCACCACGTTTTGAGAATCTTGGGCCTAGGCAGCTAAATCCATGTATCACTTTGGGTATTGTTCAACCAGGGCCTCTTAAAATTTAATGTGCCTATGAATTACCTGGAAGTATCTTTAACCTGTTCTGACTCAGTAGGCCTGAGGAGGCTTCCAAGAGTCTGTGTTTCTAAGCAGCTCTCAGGAGACCCCGGTGCTGCTTTGTGTAGCAGGTGTTGAAAGAGTAACCGTATGCTGTCCTCTGCTTGGGTAGGTCTTTGTTCTGTACAACTGTACAAATTCCACACTGAGTTGTGAAATCAGCTTACTGGCTTTAACGGATGAACACAATACACCTTTGTAACGTGCAGGGAAAGCTTCTCTTCAAGTTACGTGCTTATGGTGGAACCCAGAATGAGAGGCCTAGATGGTCCAGATTAGCCCCAAAGAGTAAATGGTTCAGACTTTCAACGTAATGTTTGGAGTCAATTAAAATTCTCTGGAGTGATCTTTTAAACGTATGTTTCCAGGTTCTGAAATGTCTGTCTCACAGTCACAGGTCCTGTGACTGAACAGAATAGATTCTTACAGGGATTCTAAATTCATTCTTTTGAATGAATGGAGTTACTTTTTTGTTTTTCTTTTTCTGAGCTTTTTTTTTTTTTTTAAAGATTTTATTTATTTATTTGAGAGAGAGAGAATGAGAGACAGAGAGCACGAGAGGGAAGAGGGTCAGAGGGAGAAGCAGACTTCCCGCTGAGCAGGGAGCCCGATGCGGGACTCGATCCCGGGACTCCAGGATCAGACCTGAGCCGAAGGCAGTCGCCCAACCAACTGAGCCACCCAGGCACCCCTTTTCTGAGCTTCTTGACAAATTAATGTACACTTGATTGTATCAGTGTTAGGGCCTTGTTGTTCTGCATATTTTGTACTTATTCCCTGGAATGATTATTATTTTATAGAAACAATATAAATATTCTCTAAAGCTAATTAAAAAAATTTTTTTTTGTCTCGGCAGATCACTTACAACCTTGGGGTTGGTGATATCATCGCTGGCTGACCAGGCAGCTGGCAAGGGTAAAAACAAATTTGTGCCTTACCGAGATTCAGTCCTCACTTGGCTTCTTAAGGTAATTCATTGTTCATGGTGTTCCTTTCCAACTAGAACTTGCCAGTTTCAGAGCTGGTAGCTGAGAGGTGTGTGCAGAGCTAACCAAATACACAGCAATCCCCGACAGTACTGTCATCCTGATTCCCAGGAATGTAGAATGAAAACTCTCTTCTGTTGCCCTTCTTACCCCATGGTAGTGCTGTTTCACAGGCATCATTGTTGTGACTAGAGAGAAACCACATCTCGGCATAAAATTATTTGTGAGGTACAAACCCATTTCCACCACACATTTCTTTCTTCACAGAGAATGTCACACGTGCACGTTCTCAGCTTTCATCCTACGTGTTGTGCACAGAATGGGGCTCATTTCCTAAGATGCTACTGGAAATATTTTGCAGGACAATTTGGGAGGCAACAGCCAGACCTCTATGATAGCCACCATTAGCCCAGCAGCAGACAACTACGAAGAGACCCTCTCCACCTTGCGATATGCAGATCGAGCCAAAAGGATCGTTAACCACGCCATCGTGAATGAGGACCCCAACGCCAAAGTCATCCGGGAACTGCGTGAGGAAGTAGAGAAACTGAAGGAGCAGCTCTCGCAGGCTGAGGTAAGATCAGCCCGGAGCTCCCTGTTTCTGAAGGTCCCTGGCTGGTGGTATCGGAGTGGGGAAGGGTGTCCTTGCCTGCAGTTTTAGGTCATCTCCCTAATGCCATTCAGCATTTCTGTGTTGATTGGCATTTTCTGCGTGCTAAGCATGGTGAAGACAGCATGAGTGGTACCAGACTTCTGTCCCAGGAACTCAACCTCCAGCGGAGGACGCAGACAAGTAAGAGTCAGTGGTTGCTACTGCCTCATTGTTTGCTTTAGTCAGTTGGCCCTTGACCGCAAATCTCTTCCAGTGTGAAACTTGAAGAACCAAATGTGGTTTTTTAAATTTAATTTAATTTTTTTATTTTTTTAAAGATTTGTTTATTCATTTTAGAGAGAGAGAGAGAAAGGGGAGGAGCAGAGGCAGAGGGAGAGAGAGAATCTCAAGCGGACTCCCTGTTGAGCACAGTACCTGACACGGGGCTCAATCCCAGGACCCTGAGGTCATGACCTGAGCCGAAATCTAGAGTCGGATGCTTAACGAACTGAGCCACCTAGGCGCCCCAAATGTGTTGTTTTATTAACATTGTGAACTATGTGCCCATAAGGCCTTGCAGTTTTCAGATTAGTTGGTTATATATCATCTCTTCCTCAAGTCAGGGCAGACAGATAAACGTTAGGAACAATTCAGAAATCTTTTATTTTTTTAACGTATATCAGCTCCTGGCAGGAAACAAAATTGGTCATTTCTCATTGTTACCATCTTTCCTTGGCTTTACCCAGCTTGAATAAACACACCTTCTTCTAAGTAACTTGCTTGTTGCAAGCTACTGGGTGAGGCCATGTCTCGTTTGAAATAGGTAATAGGACTGAAATGAAGGCCAAGTGCCTGAGCTTTAGTCACATGCTTGGCCATGCCTCACTTGGGTGTGGACCTAGGGCTGCTAAGGTCACATTCCTTCATACCACTGCTGCTGAACCCTCTTTAGTCTAGAGAGTATTAAGCTGTAGGGGGGAAAAGCGTAATAGATACTGTTTTTTGAGCACTTTTGTACCAGCCTATGTATCTATCAGTGTATCTAGTCAAAAAAGTAATCAGTAAGAGATTGAGATAAACAGGCCGAAAGGAGTCAAACCAGGGATCTGAACTGTCTCTTCATTGGTGATGGTGGAGTTGCACTGTAACAATGTGTTTACAAGTCTTTCTCTTCTTCTAGCTATGGGCTTCTGAAGTGTAGGAAGCCTTGTTTTATTAATTATCTTCATCCCTAACCCCTAGGGCAACATTGATACTGGAAGGCACTTAGCATAATGCCTGGCAACATTGTGAGTACTCAATAAATGTTGCTATTTTTTTGTTATTATCATGATCATAATCATTCAGTGCATCGAGCATCATTTTTTATTGATGCCAAGAAGGGTAGCGAAACACCTGAAAAATCAAAATACTGATAAACTTTGAGGAGAGTCATTCATGATCCTAGGAGGAAGGTGTAGCTGTTCTGAAATTCGTGTAGAGGTGGATGAGCTACTTCTCTCCGAATCTGCTTCTCTCCTCTTGTCTCTGAATCTGCTTTTCTACCTTGACCATGTAATCTAGGCCAGATGGCTAGAACCATGCCCAGCCAAAGGGAACAGAAGAGGGGCCCCGGAAGGTTCTCTGAGATAGAGTTTTCCTGGGTGTCTCCTTGTCCCCAGCACTGAATGTCACTCTCAGCTTCTGTTACCACTGTGAGACTCTGAAACCTCAGTGACCGTATACATCATCACCACTTGGATTTCTTGTCTGAGTCTGCCATCTTTCCTGTTCGTGGACTTACTCTTTGTAGAGGCTCCTGTTGCTATAGGGCGTCAAAGCATGTTGTTGCCAAGTAAAGGCCCCCCGGAGTGTTTAAGCTGCATGTATGTATCTACTTAGATCCCTTAGTTATTCTTACTGAGCTAACTCACAGGGAACTTGCTGCCCTTTTACCCAGATGGTCCTGTTTCCAAGGGAGTGATGAATATGTAAAGTTTATTACCACCAATAAGAAAAGTAGTTTTAAATGATTCAGAGTCAAATTTTAAAATGAATGAGAAGAATCTTCACCTTTCCTGGTAGGTTATCCCTGGGATGTGTTTATTGGTGATGTGTGTTGATCTCTGTCTTACTGAATAAGAAATCTGCTTAAGTTACCTTTTTACCTAAGTTTGTACAAACTTTAGCATCTTTGAGGTCTTCAAATGTGAAGGGCGCCTGGCTGGCTCAGTTGGTAGAGCATGTGACTCTTAATCTCAGGGTTGTGAGTTCAAGCCCCATGTTGGGCGTGGAGCCTACTTTAAAAAAAAAAAAAAGTCTTTAAATGTGAAATTTAAGTAGGATGGATAAAATTATTCTGTAATGATTTGTATCAGTTTAATTCAGGACACTGGTTTCATTTTCTCCTTTAAAGAGTAGCAGTCATTTATTCTTATATTTCTTTTGATTAATAAAGATCTAAACCCCACCTTGACAGTGTATGACTTAATTGCTTCCAACAGACTGCTGATAGCCACTTATGAAGGACAGTAAGGGATTGTTTTATAAATAATGATGGGAAAAATTAGAAAATCAGCTATCTCTGGTTTCCTCTTCAAGGCTATGAAGGCCCCTGAACTGAAAGAGAAGCTCGAGGAGTCTGAAAAGCTGATCAAAGAGCTAACAGTGACTTGGGAAGAGAAGCTGAGGAAAACAGAAGAAATCGCACAGGTAGCTTGATAATTCAGGCCTAAAATCTTGTGATTCTTTTTCATTTACTGTCTTTTCTGTGTAGCCACTCATCATCCCCAAAAAGTCATGTAAGGACCTCTTTCTGGTAAACGAGACTGCAAAGATCAGGGTTAGAGGCTGACTTTGTCTTCTTTCATCAACTATCATTTGGTCCACGTGTTTGCTAGAAGTGCTGGAGAGCACGGAGTTGGAGCAGGCATGCTCTAAGACCACACTGTGCATGTTTCCTGCTTTTCCATTTTGTGATTTTGAATCAACTGGCAAAGCATGCTACCTGACTGGCAGAGAATTTATAACCGACAGCACATCATAGTTTTTTTCATTGTAATTGCTTCTTTGGGTTTGTGAGAAAATGCGACATGAACTTTACTTGAGATCTAATATAAGGCAAGGACTAATGCTGCACTTGTGTGTGAGTGTGTGCGTTTTATGAATCTACACTATGCATTTTGTGAATATTTTAATCTCACTGACCACTTGGAAATACTGGACTGTCCCAGTGAGGTATCTTGAAAGCAGTAACTGGGACCTAGTCGAGCCTTCTCTTAGATATTATTCACACACACGCGGACACGCACTCCGCCCCCCCCACACACCCCTAACTCCCTATGTCTTGTACATTGTTTTGTGTTTCTTCACAGCACTTATCACCATTGGCAATTCTGTATTTTACATGTCTGTTTTTTCATGGTCTGTTTCTTTCCACTAGAATATAAGTTTTCACAAATGAAGGGACTTTGCTGTTGTATTCCTAGCCCTAGATCAGTACCTAACACTTAAATATCTCATGAATGAATGAATGAATGAATGAATGAATTCAAAGCCCTCTGCCGTAAGGAACCAACCTGCTCTTCCAGCCCCATCTCTCCCATGACTTTCCCACATTGACTAGGGTTCTTGCCCCCTGGCATCATGCAGTATGCCCAGAACCTCTACTGTGCCTTCTGGTGCCTTCCGTTAGGACACCCTGCTCCTACCTTACCACTGCCCCATTTCTTGGGAATTCTTCTTATACTTCAAGAAACATCTTAAGTGTACCCTTTTCCCGAAGTCTTTCTTGGTCTCTGAACCCATCACAGTCTCCCTTCTTGGAAGCCCCGCAGTACACTGTTCCTCTCCAGTGATCCAGGGCTCTCCTCTTCTGATTCGGGTATGTCATCTTATCCCCTCTCCTAGACCGCAAACCCCTTCAAGGGAAGATGGTGTCTGGTTCACCCGAAGCACCCTGACGACACTGACTCAAGATGTCACACATTTTAGACACTCTGTAAACTTGGTTGTAATGTGTCATTTCGTTGGCATTGTCCCCAGAAATAGTGACTGAAACTTTCCATGGATACCTCTTGTGTCTAGAGCAACAAATAGTTTCCTGTTTTTGTGCCCAGGAGAGACAGCGACAACTCGAAAGTATGGGGATTTCCCTGGAGACCTCGGGTATCAAGGTCGGGGACGACAAGTGCTACTTAGTCAACCTGAACGCAGACCCTGCTCTCAATGAACTTCTGGTTTATTATTTAAAGGTAAGAAAGCATATAAATAGTTGCAGTCCCGATTCATTCATGTACAACTCCCGTTGGAATCTGGATGTCTGTACCCATGATTTGGTTTTTGTATCCAGCTTAGTGCTCATTAAAAGTAAGTGACCCCCCCCCCGCAAAATAAAATAAATAAATAAATTGCTTTTGCACCATTTAAAAAAAAAAAAGCAAGAGGACGGATGGTGTGGTGTGGTTACCATTGAGAGTGAAACCTCCCCTCTGGTGACCATCAGTTTGTTCTCTATATTTATGGGTCTGTTTCTACTTTTTCTTTGTTTGCTGGTTTGTCTTTTTTAGATCCCACATAAAGCAAAATCATATGGTATTTATCTTTCTCTGTCAGACCACACTTTTGGAAATACTGGCTTATTTTGTTAGGTGAGAAATAAGACATCTGTTTGAAGTGAGGCACCTGATAGACACTGATATGGGGCACCCCAAAAGACATAGGGTTCCTCAGTTACGGTAGTATAGAAATATATGTGGCAGTATTTAAATAACTCTCAAGGATTGGAGACCTGGGGACTTGAAGGCAGCTTATCTAACTGTCCACACACCTAAATCTCTAAATGCCAGAGATAATATGCCAGAAGTTAAACAGGTGCCTAGTTAAGGATTCTGATCTGCCTTGAGTTAATATAAAAATGCAATGGAAAATAAGCTAGAATTGAAGAAAGGAGCCTCAGTTTTCCATTACCCTTTTTATTCTCCTTTTTCCAGAGACATAGATCTGGTGCAAAAAGCCCCTGATTTACTGAGAGTTCACCAGTAGACTTAACTGTTCATTTGGGACATAATTAAGGCATAGGAATTGTGTGCAAAATCCTAATTTTGAAAGACCAAGCCTTTCTGTCGAATAGGGAAATATTACTGTCATGGTGACTCAGTGATTTTTAGAGCAATAGAAAACACAAAGTGATGAGCTGTGGACCGCATCTTGGGAGTGACAGTCCTCATATATCTGAAATCATGCTCATCTGTACATTCTGTAACCCACAGGCTACAGTACTCTGTAATATTGGTATTCGAAACTCAACTACTTTATTTTTATTTTTTTAAGGTTCTATTTATTTGAGAGCAAGAGAGAGAGTGTGACAAGGGGAGGAGCAGAGGGAGAGGGAGAAGCAGGGAGCCCGACGCGGGTCTTTTTTTTTTGGCATAGCACAAACAAATTTATTTACTAACCAAAGGGATGATCCTAATTAAATCAACACTTTGAAATAGATGCATGTAAAATGTTTGTGATAAAGATAATTGAACACAGTAATGAAAAAAAAGCAGTATGGAGATTTGCTCATTGAACTGAGCTTGTTTATCCTCACAGCTACTTCCTGTCCACAGTGATGATGGAATTTTTACTCTACTTTTCCATAGACCCGAGTACAGGTGACATTATTCGTGACGCATTCCACCACTAATTTCCCGTTTTCCGATTTTCTGGTGATTGTGCTTTCCTTCCCATCCCATTCCTGATGTTGAACCAATGCGCCATCTGTGAAGTTGCATACAGTCTGTTTTTTTGCCATCAGCTGTAGTTTCTTCAAACTTCTCTCCCAGGTTACATGAAAACTGTGTTGTTTTCAGTGTGTTCTCAGTTTTTTTGGTGAGGTTTTTGCCGTCAGAAGAGATGATACAACCTGGTTTGGCTGTTGCACCCACTTTTCGCAGAGCCATTCCCACGCCTCCTTCCTTCATGTATTCGCCAAAGCCTTTGCTTTCCACTAAGCGCCATCTTCCTACCAGCTGCTGAGTGGTGGGCATGGTGGGCGCGGGCCGGCAGGCCTAGCGAGCAGAGCAGAGTGGGGCATTGGGAGCGTGGCTTCCCTTTTTTTTTTTTTGGTAAAGATTTTATTTATTTATTTGACAGAGACACAGGGAGAGAAGGAACACAGCAGGGGGAGTGGGAGAGGGAGAAGCAGGCTCCCCACCGAGCAGGGAGCCTGATGCGGGGCTCAATCCCAGGACCCTGGGATCATGACCTGAGCCCAAGGCAGATGCTTAATGACTGAGCCACCCAGGTGCCCCGCTTTTATTTTAAAATTTATATATTTGAAAATACCATTTTCCATGAAATTCCTGTTAGTGATTCTTGAATTTATATAGTTATTGTCAAAGCATTTTCGTTGCCAACTCAGGTGATCCTTGAAAGAATCCTACTAAGTAGTTCAAATTGATGATATTGTCCTAGTTTTGCAAAAAAAAAAAAAAAAAGAAAGAAACCAAGGCTCAGACTGTGAAGTAGCTTGCTCATGGTCACATAAATGGTAAGCTGTCAAGTTAACATGGGAACTCAAGATAGTCTCCTGTCAAGTCTGATTTCCTTATATTGTTGTTTTATTTTTTCTAAGGTTTTATTTATTCATTTGACAGAGATGGATACCACGAGAGAGGGAACACAAGCAGGGGGAGTGGGAGAGGGAGAAGCAGGCTTCCCGCGGAGCAGGGAGCCCGATGTAGGGCTCGATCCCAGGACTCCGGGGTCATGACCTGAGCCGAAGGCAGATGCTTAACAACTGAGCCACCCAGGCGCTCCCCCCCCCCCCATTTCCTTATATTGTAAAACAATATCTAATCACTGTTGGTTGGTGTTATTTTCTTCATAGTGTTTAAATATTTTTAAAATGTAGTATATTAAGGTAAGCTTTTGACCTATAATGTTCCAGATATCTTGCATCTCCCATCTGATTGTTTAATATTGTCATGCAGATGCCATTGGGTTATTCAAATTGATGGTGATAAATTTGTGTTGAGTTACTTGTAAGAGTAGGTTTTTTCCTTTCTTCCACAATCTGTTACTAGGACCATACCAGGGTGGGTGCAGATACGTCACAGGATATCCAGCTGTTTGGGATAGGAATTCAGCCGGAGCACTGTGAGATAGATATTGCATCTGATGGCGATGTTACTCTGACTCCGAAAGAAAATGCAAGGTAAGAGAAATAAATGTCCACTTCACGTATCTGTGAGCCTGATTTTCAGGCATAGACTGCCCCTTTCTGTCTGTTGGCTCAGTTCTATCAAAGTTAAGACTTCACTGGGTTCTTGGGGATACTTCCGATTGTAGGGAGCTGTATAGCAACATTTAGAGCACCAGCTTTGGGGTGGCTGATTCTGCCTGGACTGGCCGGGTTATCTTAGATAACACACTTTTGTCTAAACTTCTACTTCCTCATGTGAAACATAGGGCTAAAAGTAGGCAAAACAGAAATCACTTGGCTCAGTGCCTGACACATACAAATATTTTATTTTTATTTTTTTAAAGATTTTATTTATTTATTTGACAGAGAGACAGTGAGAGATGGAACACAAGCAGGGGGAGTGGGAGAGGGAGAAGCAGGCTTCCGCCTGGCAGGGAGCCCAATGCGGGGCTCGATCCCTGGACCCTGGGATCGTGACCTGAGCCGAAGGCAGACGCTTAACGACTGAGCCACCCAGGCGCCCCACAGATATTTTATTTTTAAGATTTTATTTATTTATTTGAGAGAGAGAGAGAGATAGCACAAGCCGGGAGAGGGGCAGAGGGAGAAGCAGGCTCCACACTGAGCAGGGAGCCCAATGCAGGGCTCGATCCCAGGACCCTGAGATCATGACCTGAGCCGAAGGCAGACACTTACCTGACTGAGCCACCCAGGCACCCCTGATACATACACATAATGAATAAAATTAGTTGTTACTCAGTGTAATACATTGCATAAAAAGCAGTTAATCAGATAACTCCATTTATGAAAAATTCCTAAACTAGGCTATAATATATAAGAATTTGAGAATTGACATGATAGTGTATTAACTTTGGGATTTCTACTAAATACTGTCTTGAACTACTTTACAATCAAGTATAAAGTTTATATGAAGTCCTATCACAATATTCACTAACACACAAACATTGTGATCAGAATGCTTTTTTTAGGGAAAGGAAAACCTTACACTCATTTCAAATTATTCGATTAATATTGGCCATATCAATTTCTAAGTGATGACAAACTGAGACTAACAAGAATGGCATAGATGATTCATGAAAGTTTGTAGGTCTTGTGTTACAGGGATATAATTGCTAAAGATATCTAATGGTGAAATGATGCTGTTCCTTAATTTTTACTTATTCCAGGTTCAAGTAGCCTTCTGCCTTATGCTGTATTATGCTATATTAGAAACTCTGGATTTTTTTAATACTCTGGTTTTTAATTGACAAAATTGCATATATTTAAAGTGTACAATATGATTAGACCATACTCTCTTTTAACACTGTATCTAAAAATAATTCTAATCAGCAAATTTCCTCATACCCAATTCCAGTGCCATGTTTTTGTTCCTGCTCTTTGCCCTCCCTCACCCTGCCCAGTCTCCTCCTCCGCTACCCTGGGGTAGCGGTGCATTCATTCAGGAGTCTTTGCTACAGGCTCTGTGCAGGGAATGCCCAAGTAAAGGGACTCAAAACCTGGTAGAAGAGAATGTATAGAGGCAACAGTGATTATACAGGATGATAAGTACTTCTTCCTGCAGGTCTGATCACTATGGAAATGTGTGGGGTTGTAGGACCGGAGGTGGGGAGATCTGTTAGGATATTATTATGATATTGTCATGGGAACACAGCAAGTGGCAGAAGAAGTGAAGAACAAAATGTACTTGAGAATAATTTGAGAGTCAGGCAGCTTTAGTGATGTGCTTGGGGACAGGATGGAGAGTCAGTAAAAGAAGGTGAAGTCAGCAATGGTTACAGGGTTCTGTCTTGGGAGACTAGATAAACAGTGGCGATCCTGAGCCGAAATGAGGACTACAAAAGGAAGCACAGGCTTGGAGGATGATGGGTGTAATGAGTGGTGATGGATTCAGGTTGGGGTCCTGTGAATTTGAGGTGCCCTGAGGACATCCGTGTGGATGTATCCAGTTGGACATTGGATTTAAACATGTAGAGTTATACTCAGGATATACAGTCAGCCATTAATGGTGTCGTCTGTCTTCAGAGTGGATCCCAAGTGTGTAGTGGAAGGAGTAAACCAATGTTTCAGGGATGGTCTGAGAGCCCAGAGACAAGGGACTCAGGCAAAGATACAGTGATGGAAGCCAAGGGAGGAGAACATTGTAAGGAAGAAGAGGTCAAAATAGAGGTTAACAAGCTCCTTTTTTTTTTTTTTTTTTAAGATTTTATTTATTTACTTGACAGAGAAAGACACAGCGAGAGAGGGAACACAAGCAGGGGGAGTGGGAGAGGGAGAAGCAGGCTTCCCGCGGAGCAGGGAGCCCGATGCGGGACTCGATCCCAGGATTCTGGGATCGTGACCTGAGCCGAAGGCAGACGCTCAACGACTGAGCCCCCCAGGCGCCCCAAGGTTAACAAGCTTCTGTCGGATGTAGCAGTTAGGAGGACACTAGCAACCTTGGGACGTTTAGGAACCATGTAGTTGTGGGTATAGAAGGAACAAATACAAGGAGGAGAGAATGGGGGGGTGAGGAGGTGGGCTGAGAGTCATGGTTGTGAAGATGGACATGGGATTAGAGACAGAGCCAGGGAGGGATGTTGGGTTAGGGGGGAGTCACTGTGTCTTCAAATCTGTCTTCAAGTCACGCATTCTCTCTCTAGTCACATCTTACCTGCTCCTTAACCATTGTATTGAGTTTGTAATTACAGTGTCTCTGTTTTTCACTTATAGAAGTCTAGAAAGTCCTTTTTTTGGTAAGCCTGGTCTATATTTCTAGAGTCGTATTTGTACTCCACTGTATGCCTTTTTTTTTTTAAGATTCACTGTATGCCTTTAATAATTAGATTTTTACTTATTTTATGGTCTTTGTTTGAAAATTCTATCTCTGACATTGTTGGGGCTTCAGCCCGCCTGTTGGTCGTATCTGCTGATAACTGCTTCCTAGAGCAGCGTGTGATTCCTCAGATGGGCTCACCTTCAGCAGGAGGTTCTCTGTAGAAGTCTCATGGCCTGCGAGGGGACATAAAGTGTTGCAAACACATTTTGTATTGGCTTCTTTTTTTTTTTTTATTTGAGAGAGAGAGCAAGCGAGCACATGAAGGGGGGAAGAGGGAAGAGCAGGCTCCCCACTGAGCAGGGAGCCTGATGCGGGGCTCGATCCCAGGACCCTGAGATCATGACCCGAGCCAAAGGTAGACACCCAACCGCTGAGCCACCCAGGCGCCCCTTGTATTTGCTTCTTAACAAGAACCCCAGGCATGTGTCCCCTTAGAAATCACTTTTTATGTTATTAATTTCTTGGCTTGGGTACAGTACCAAAGCAGGCAATTTCCATAACTATTTCTGTATATTATTGTAATAAGAGCATACTATAAATGGCAGCGTTGTTTTATGTGTGTGTTCAAAACTTGTGTGTGTGCCCATGTGTGTATGCATGCACACACATACCTATAGAGGGGTCCCTTAAAGATACAGATGATCACAAAAGTTAGCAATAAATAAAAAGGCAAAGCTTATTATATTTCTCTGTCATTTTCTTTGGAACTGTTTTTAGTTTTATTCTAGAATAACACTATCCAATAGAAGTTTCTGAGATAATGGGAAGGTTCTATACCTGCAAAGACCATTTCGGTAGCCACTAGTGAGATGGTGCTCTTGAGTATTGAAATATGGCTAATGAAAGTGAAGAACTGAATTTTTTAATTATAATTCATTGTTTAAAATAATAAAGGACATTGACACATCTCTTCCTCATACTGCTATTCTTAGATATATAGATCTATTTAGATATGTCTAGATACCCATCTATCTATACACCTAGATACATTATTTAGATACCTTAATAAACTGGGCAGATATTTTCCTTGAAAACTGACTAATGAATGTTTGTTTTTTAGGTAGAAGAGGTGAGTACTCTATTAAAAAATTTACCCCCAAAAAACAACTTTTCATCATTCTTTTGGCTAAAATATGTATATTTGTACAGATAAACATATACATATATATTCTGATCTCATTTTCCACTTTTTGCAGATGAATAAATTAGTCCATAATTCCGAATAGATGGACACAGACCTCTGAAGCTTGAGTTAGCGTTGAGAGTCATTTTCATTGGCAAGAATAAAGGGAGCATGTTAGTGTAAAAGATACACAGCAAAGTTTTATCATGTTTATGTATGATAGATGAAAAACATTTGAGATGGTATTGCCAGGGTATTTTTATCAATAAAAACTTAGTCCCTAAACTTGAAATATTACTACCAAGGAAGGCTTATTTTCATGTGTGAGTTCTCCTTACTCCGTAACTCTGAGCTGGAGAGTCCTATAAAGATAAGGAGCCAGAAAATGAGATTCTATGAGAAAAGTAACTTATTGAAAAACTAAAACTCAAAAGAATAATCATTATTTTTCTCCATCATACTTCACCTGACACTTTTTAGCAAGTTAAACTTTAATTAGTTAATTATCCTCCTGATTGTTTTAATACCAGCAAAATCTTTTTTTTAATGAAGGAAACATTTGTAAGAAGACTAGTTATCAGCACTAAAAATGGTGGGGGACTTTTCCTCTCCCCCTAAGAAAAGTCACAGTGGCAAGGCTTTAACTTTGTTAAAGAATCTGTTGATGAGATCTAGATTGGCAGGAAGTCCTCTGAGATCTGTTACCGTGAGTTATTCACAGCCCCTGGATTCATAGACCCTTGTAGCCAGTAAGCTGTAACAAAGCTGCAATGCAGGGAAGACTTGGGGCTTCAGGATTTGCTTGAGACAAATCGCAGATGCATAGGTCAGCGCAAACCTGGAGACATGGTGCACACCATCTACTGCACGCTACATGCGGGATTGCAGAGACTCAAGAGTTGTTTCCCCCATCTCCGATTGTCTTGTTTTTACTGTTTGTTTGGTAGCTATTTAGGATTTAAACCTGGTTGCTCTTTTTACGTTTTCCCCAAGTTTTTATTATGGAAAACTTCGAGTGTATGAAATAGAAAGAAGAGTATAATGAACCCCCAAATTTCCATCATCCAGCTTCAAAAATGAACACTTCACGGTTTTTATTTATACGCCCTCCACATCTCCTCCTCCCTCCCCTCTGCATTATTTTAAAGCAAGTTCCAGATATAACTTTGTATCTAAATATATCAGCTTGTATCTCTAAAAGACAAGTATTCTTGAACATAGCTTCAATACCATCACACCTAAAGTAATTACAAATAATTCCTTACTAATCTTCATATATTGAGCCAGTGTTCAGATTTCCCCAGTGGTATCATAAATGTTCCTTTTCAGCTGTTTCTTGAAATCAGGATCAAATAAGATTCAACCATTGTCATTGGCTGTTATGTCTCTTTTAACAAGTCCCTCCTCCCTCTGTTCCTCCCCCCCTTCCCCGCCTTTTCCTTGCATTTTATTTATTGAAGACACCTGGTTGTTTCCCACAGTCAGCATTTTGCTCATTGCATCCCATGACATCATGTACCATCTTCCACCACCTTGTGCATTTCCTAAATTGGTATTTAGATAATAAAAGCTTGATCAGGTTCAGCCCATATTTGGACAAGATATTCCATAGGCATTCTTGTGTATATCTCCATTAGGAGCACGTCATGCCTGGTTGTCTGTCTTTGAGGGATATTGGCAGCCCTAGATCATCATTACTTAGATCATGTGTTTTGATAGTGGTTATAATTCTATTGTTCCTTCTTTAGGAATTAGTAGAATACCTCTGTTAAGAGAAACTTCCCCATTTATCTCTTTGGCTACTGGGGCTGGGTTTTGTGCTCTTTCCCATAGAGCTGACATATTCCCTGGTGTTCCTTCAGGTCCTGTGTAAATGGCACCCTTGTGTGCAACACCACCCAGCTGTGGCACGGTGATCGAATCCTGTGGGGAAATAACCACTTTTTTAGGTAACATCTTTGTGTTCCCTAATATTTTCATAAACTTCTTTTTCTGTTATCGGAGTATAAAACAAGTCAATTTTCTCTAATGATGGAAAACTCCACAGAATTAATTTACCTAAGAGGAAACGGCGAGATTGGTTGAAAGACTTTGAAAAGGAGGCAGGCCCGCCAGAGCATGACCTGGATGCAGCCAGTGAAGCTTCCTCAGAACCAGACTATAACTATGAATTTGCACAGATGGAAGTTATCATGAAAACCCTGAATAGTAATGGTAAGACCTTACCTCCGGATTCCTCCGTTTTTGGCAGTTCCTCTCTCAGCAGTTCAGTGAGGGATGCACTTGTGTAAAGTGGAGGTGTCATTCTGAAATTAAGACACATAAACTTGTTAATTTCTTTTTTTTTTAAGATTTTATTTATTTGTGTGAGAGAGAGCATGAGCGGGGTGGGGGATGGCGCAGAAGGAGAAGCAGGCTCCCCGCTGAGTAGGGACATGGGGCTCCATCCCGGGACCCCAGGATCACGACCTGAGCCAAAGGCAGATGCTTAACGGACTGAGCCACCCAGGTGCCCCAAAATTGCTAATTTCTTATAGAGGCCAGTGGGGAGGGACTAATGAAACTATTCCAGGGCCTGGTCTGCTCCCTCAAGTATAACTAAGAAGTCCCTGTTTTGAGACCCCTTGTTCCCAAGTCAGTTATGGTAACATTTCCACAGTCCTAGAGTACAGAATGATCGTGGTGGAATTCCTTTTCAAATTTCCCAGTACTGAGTTCGTCATTTCTGAATCCTTCAGAGCACAAAAATCCCAGCAGAGGATGAACCCAGGAATTTCAAATGGAATCTAATGGAGAGACAAAGGTCACAATATTTTGCTAAAACCCCAGTTGGAAATTATAACCAAAGAGGCTTATTTAGTAAGCCCAGGTGGCTTTTACAAAAATGATCCTACAATGAGGGGCTTTTATAGGCTCTTTGCTTGACTTACACGCCGGCCTGTCTCAGATTTTTAAGGAAGATTTTCCTTAAAGCCTTGTTTCTAGATCCCTCTTTTCAGAAAGTTTTCAGTGTTTGTATTAAAATTCTTTCCCTCTATATCTAAAAGGTAAGCCTTTATCTCTTCATACACACTTCCATGCATTCAATAAAATCCACACCACATTCTTTCCTTGATGGCTATTTTATAAATCTGCAGCTTCTCTTCCATCTCTGTCTCTTGTCATCAGGCTTTAGCCTGGGGACTAGAAGCAGGACAGGAAAGTTCCTCTCCTACCAAGCACGAGGCAGCATTTCCGTGACCAGAACTATTTGACAGGGAAATATAAGGAGCACCTGAGAAAGTTTGTTTTTGGACTTTGTCTCCTTTCACTTTCCCAATCAGGAGTTCTTTGAATACCTAAGGATCCCTACCTCGAACCAGGGAGGACCTCCGGGAGCCTCTGCCTGACATGGTACAGGGAGAGCATCATAGTTTCCCAGTGGGACTCTCCCCTGAAACCCTGACTTTTGCACTCTATCTATGAGTCGACCTGAGAAGAATATGCGCGTGGCTGGAGAATGTCAGTCGGATCTCTGGCATATCAAATTGGGGATTCTGCCCGCCCTCCCCGCCTCCCCGCTCATGCTCTCTCTCACACACGAATTGGGAATAAAGACATTGACATTTTTAATCTCTCTGGATTTTTAGCCCCAAGGACCTCCCTCTTTTCCATTATAAAAATGAAGTATGAAGAAAAGGCTAGATGGAAAAACAAGTATGATGTATTTAATATGAAGAATAGAGACCACCGCCAAAAAAGAACATCAGTGAGATTAGGGATGCAGATTAGCTGCTGGAGTTTTGGACGCTTCACCACAGACTGGACCATAGCTAGAAATCAGGCTGCAGTCCACTCTGCTACTTGCTCACCCAGTTGGGAGGAATCACAAAAGACATTCCAAAGTGATGTTCAGACATCAGAATCACATTAATGGGCCATTTTCCGACATGCCCGAGCAACAAGTCTCTTATGAGTAATTTTTGGGAGCCCGAATGGATACAGGGTGTGACAGGAGGGTGTGGGCTTCAAACCCCAGGTGCAGAACGCCTGTTGGGAGAACCTTCTTTCTTGACATGATATTACAGAATTCTGGATGTCTCTATTGTCTAACAGCAACGTATCCAAGTGCTATCAATTTAATCATTTACGTCCCACATCACACATTTCTAATTTTATTCAGTCACTACATTCTTATCATATTTATATTAAAGCCCTGAATAACTGATGAGTATTTGGTGAGTGTTTGTTAATTCCTTCAATCCTCTTAGCCAAACCAATTAGTCACCGGTGGCCTGGCTTATGGTATTAACATGAGTTACCCTTTTTGTCTTCCAGAACAAGCCTTGTTCCCCAGTGTTGATTTTGTCTGTTTCAGAGTAGTGTTTCCCCAATTCCCCGCATAAGTGGGGCTTCCCTCTGGTGTGCTCTAAGTGATGAAACGGGGCGGGGGGGGGGCCCGCTAGTGTTCATGCAATTCACCTCTACCACTAGGTGGCTTCCCGATCCTAAGCCTGTCTGCCTGGTGGTCGTCCCCCTGGTGGTCCTATTTGAAGATTCTCTTCCCTCTCATGTGGTTTCAGACGAAGCTCCTCCACAAACACTGGGATAAAGGTTTTAACTGATTGGCATTAGCATGGGGGAGCTTGACTGGTTGTTAGCAGGGCTGCTGACTGATGCTTGTGCTTCTGCTTTGGCAAAATCGAACTAACATGATTGGGAAGAAGTGGAAGTTTTCTGCCTGACAGAAGCACTCTGTATTCCTGATTGAGGCGTGTGCCCCTTTAAGTCGTGACCCCTACCTCCCCGTGTCCCAACTCCATTGCCTTCCCATTGGTTAAACTCTGGTAGCTGTCCTTTCCCTGTACTTCCACCAGCACAGACATGTTACTGCATTATTGCTCCTGTTACTAAAGGCTGGATGACCATTGGGAGCTCAGCAGTTTAGGACTCTGTACTTGCAGATATCGATTGACCTGCATCGTCCCAGTAATAGACGAGGATGATGTATTTTCAAATCTCTAAGTCATGATGATCGAAAACCCCATTCGTTGGAATTAAGAGTAGAAGCAAACCCGGTGTCTGTGGACGATAATGTGTTCATCCCGAAGGTTCAGAATAAGAATGAGGCACTCATCTGTTTTCCTAGAGTCAGTGGTGGCTCTGAAGTAAAGAGCAATGAAGGGGCTGGTGAAGAGTCATTGAGTTTATTCCATCTGGGACTTAGAGTTGTTTTTTTGTTTTTTCCCAAAGGATTTACTTCCCTTCAGTTTAGCGCATTGGGCACCTGGGTGTGAGTGAATACTGTTGGTTATCACATCAGTGTCCTCCAGCCTAGCCTCTACTGGTAGCACCCTCTCTGCTCCATTCTCGGGACCGATAAATAAGTCTGAGCACATTGCACAGTTACATACCGAGATAAAGAATAAACTAACGAAGAGAGAACATTCTATACCATAATAAATGTGGTCCTTTCTCTCTTCCTAAAACACTTCCCTCTTTGGTATCTTGGCTTTAGCCTCCAGGCTCACTGAGTTTTGAAACCCTTCATTCAAGAGGAAGAAAATGATAGGGAGAAAAAAAAACTGGACAATTTTTTGATGACTGGTTGGTTGAGAATAGGCTATAAATAGTCTTTGGCTTCTGTCCTAAGCCATATCATAGAGTCAGATTGACCTGCTGAGTAGGATGATCTATTTATAAATATGCTGTATAATGATAAAGGCTTGAAACTGGCTCATTGAAAAGACAATATCATCAAATATGTCTAAGAGAAAGACTTGTGTTGAGATAGGAGGTTCAAAAAGGGAAAGATGGACAGACATACAGAGGGAAATCTTAGCCTCTGTATCTCTGCCCAGGCTCTGTGTAGTGAGGTCTGTCCCAGGGCCCCAGGGCAGGGCTTACCGGGCTATGGTAGCAGGCTCAGGGGAGGGATGCTTTGAGTTGTTCCCTCTTCTATAACTGCTTCTTGGGTTTGTGGCCACTGATGAAGCCTGGTGAATAGTTATGTCAGGGTGTTAGGTCATGTTTAAAGCAACCTTGGTCACGTTGCCTCTGCATTAGCATGGAACCTCGGGGTGAAATCCTCTCAGCCATTTGGGATCATGTGTGTTTCCACACACCACGGACTAACAAGCAGAAATAAGGATTAAATGTCTTACCCAGTGTCTTTTAGCAAAAATCTTAGAATATTAATTTTTATCAAACGGTGTATTCTCCAGTTTTCTCTCTCTGGAAAAGATTTATGAACACTAAGGTAGGGCTCTTGAAAACCAGGCTCCATGGAAGTATAAATGGATGGTGAAGACCCTGTCCTTCCTTTTTTAAACCTAGAGCCTAAAAGGGAAAAAGTACGTATTGTTTGAGAAATGCATTTTTAAAGTAATTCTGAGACAACTTTTCTTCTCTAGCCCTTATTTAAAATTTCTTCAGACTCCATCATGTTATTTATATATTTTTTCATAAATTTACAGGGCAAGATCAGAAGTTCTAATGCTTTAGAGTATATAGATGTCTTACTGTATGAAAAGCTTTTCCCTCTCCATGGTCTGTCTTTGTTTAAGAGTTTGGTAATTTTTAGGAGTTCATTTTCCATCAGATTTTCAGGTGGTATATTTTAGGGACTCCCTGTCAGGACTCTGTGAAGAAAACTATTTCTGCTTTGGAAAAATGCTGAGTTTTAGAATTTTATATCTGCAAAGAACAGTATTTTTTTCAAATATCGGCTCTTTAACAGAGTACTAATTCTGAGCAAAACATTGGAGATAAGAATACTGTATCAGTTTATTAGTGAATTGATGTCCAACCTCAGATGGTTAGCTCTGATCTGAGTTCAGAACCTGGCTCTGTCGCTTACTAGCTCTGTGATCTTAGGTCAGCATCCTTAAAATGGGAATATATCCACCCTCAGGTATGATGCAAGGTTTTCATGAGATGACGCATGGAAAGGGTGCAGTGCTTCTCCCTTAGTGGTGGTCAGTAGCTAGTAGAATTCTTATTGCCATGTGGTTGTCATTTTTTTATTAAAACAACTCACCTGTACTCTGTGTAGATCCCTGGTGATTTCTTAAATTGCTTTCTACTTTTTGTTTTGTATAATTTAACCTTATTTTTTAAGCTAACATACTGTCTCTTTCTCTTATTGCTTACATAGAAGATAAGTATAATTTACATGGTTAATCCACAAATTGGTAGGGTCTTCTGGAAAGGTCAGTCAGGAACCATCATTGGATGATAGAAAAATTCGTCTTGTCCGCTTCATTTCCCACTCTGTCCTGGAAATTAAACTGAGAGTCAGTCTGTGGGAACAACACAAATAGCACTATTTGAATCACAGGCAAAGTTGTGAGTTGCAGGCCAGTCTGAGAATATGAATGCATGTCCTCCCCATCTCATGTGCTTCCAGGAGGAAATACTGGGATGGTGGTTTTCTTATTTGCCATCCAGATAGTCTGACATATTGTTTCCCTGCAGTCTACTCACTTAGAGATGCCAGTAACTTTCTCCTTTGGACATATGGTCAGTACCTCCTTTCTCCACAGCATCCAGATCAGTGGTCATTGCCAAGCTAATGTCCAGCCTCAGCCAGTGACCCCTACCTACACCACAGCCACTGCTGGCCATGGCCATGGCCCCTTCGAACAACGTATTTCTATACTTGTTCACCACATGTATGTTGCTGATCTCTTGGTCTGCAAAAGCAATAAGTCAAAAACAGCCTTTTGTTTTTACAAGTGAGTTCCTCCCCTCCTTCCTCCTTTTTTTCTGCTTTTCTTTTCTTTTTGCATGTGAATTGCCCTCCTGGATATTAGCACCTGAGAAATTGCCAGACCATACACTCAGTATTTTTAAGCATATGCTGTGATCTAGAAGTTTCCTCCCCCCACGATAGAAATTCAGGAGTAAAATCAGAAATATAAACCCTTTACCATAAACTAAAACTGATGCTAAATGGGCATAGAAATTGACTACCATAAAAATGAAATCTTGTGTGGCTCTGTCTGTGAAGCTGTCTTCGATTTCATGAAGTTTTTTCTCAGTGGGTAGAAGCACATCCCCTCTAGCGTCTGCTTGTAGTGAATTACTGATCCATCTAAACAGGAGGATGAGCTCATCAAATTGAAGAAGCACAGTAGATGTGGGGAATGTTTACATGTAAGGCATTTATCTAAAATGTTAGCAAAAAGGCCGTTGGGAGGATCTCATCTGGAGGGGCCCGTGGGCCGCTCAGAGAAAGCATCTGGAAAGGCTAGATTCTGAGCAGGGAGATGATTCTTGCTGGAAGAAGCACCGGCCGGCTGCCCTGTCGTGCCCATCACCGAAGACACCTTGCCTTGTCTCTTGGCTCCCCAGACCCAGTGCAAAATGTGGTTCAGGTGCTGGAGAAACAGTACCTGGAGGAGAAGAGGAGTGCCCTCGAGGAGCAGCGGCTCATGTATGAGCGGGAGCTGGAGCAGCTCCGTCAGCAGCTGTCCCCGGAGCGGCGGCCCCCGAGCAGCGGCCCTGACCGCCTGGCCTACAGTGGCCAGACAGCTCAGCAGAAGGTGACCCAGTGGGCAGAGGAGAGGTAAGAACGGGACCTGGGGAACCCAGGGTCACCAAGGGGGATCAGCCTAGCAAGGAAGGAAATCTTAGTCCCAGATCTAGGTCGTTAGCAGTTGCCTTTTCCTTTGAGAGATACTGTCCATCCGCAGGATGTTTACTGCAATGTTAGTTGTTAAAGACCACCCCTCGCCCCCTTACCCTTCAGTAAAAATGGCACCATGTGACAGCACCACTGGGAGGTACTGAAAGAAAGTTTGAATGCTCCTGTAGCATAAAAGCATTCCTCATCTTTAAATTTCTCTTCCTTTGGATTCTCTCTAAATACAAGTGCAACGTTAAGAAATCTACTAAATGTGAATTTTCTGAATTTATGGCTTTTAAATATTTATCTCAACTGAGGTGCCGGTGGGAGAAGCATCGGCCGTGAGGAGAGTACGTCACTTGTGGATTCTGTCGTGTTCTTACTGCAGTCTAGGTGCGGTGCTGACCTAACAGTCCCCGCAGACTGTGCCAGAGGGGCGGTTCTGTCCATCCCGTAGATAGGGTGCTCACTTTACGTGTCCTCCTCAGTCACCCGCCTGGCCAGTGAGAAGGCCAGCGTGTGAACCCCGATCTGCCTGTAGTCCCCTTACTAATAGCAGTAACAAAAGTAGCATTTGGTGTTTACAGAGCATGGTCCAGGCACCAAGTGCTTTACATATATTCATCTCATCTTCACAACTGCCACTCTGATCATTTGTACCCCATTTCACACATGAGCAAACAGGCTGCGAGGGGTTGAATGATTCCCCTAAAATCATTTTTTTTAGTATAAACATTCACACATGTATTTTGCAATATTCTTTTTGCACTTAACATTTATTTGTGAACATTTTCATTGTTTTAAACAACCAATACTATATTATATTAGAGGCCGAATTCCTTTGTATGACATAGAATAATTTTTGAATTAGTTTCACATTGTTGGATATTTAGTTCTTACTAAAATTTTTGCTTTCATAAATAATGCTGCAAAGAACATCCATGTGCACAAATTACTGTGAACATCATTATCTTCTTTTTTTTAAAGAGTTTATTTATTTATTTGAGAGAGACAGAGACAGCAAGAGAGATCATGGGCAGGAAGGAGAGGGAGAAGCAGGCTCCCCACTGAGCAAGGAGCCCGATGGGGGACTCGATCCCACGACCCCAGGATCATGACCTGAGCGCAAGGCAGACGCTTAACAACTGAGGCACCCAGGCGCCCCATTATTTAGCTTCTTATTATAGAGTCCTAGAAGTAGAATTGCCAGGTCAAAGTGTAGGGAAAAAAGACTTTGGATGCAAACTGACAAGCTGCCTCCCAGAGTCCCTTAGCTGGCAAGTTGGGGCAGTGAGATCAAAGCCATGGCCGTCTGACGCCAGGACCAGTCTCTGATTCTTGCAGCCACACTGCATCTCTCATGAGCAGTGAGACACTTAAACTAGAGCCACATCCAGGAAAAATGACCCCTAAGAGGAGCAGAGGGAGAAAAGGAGCCCAGCCCTGCACACCAGGCTTGCCTCGATAATGCACTTGATTGTTCTAAATTCAGAGAAAAGAGTCAATGGCATTTTCCCCAGGAGTTGCCCACTCATGTGTCTGGATACTGAAGTATGAAGATTTATCCTACTTGTAACACATTTCTCTTTCAATGTGCCTGGGTAAAAGAGGCAAAGGTTACCAGATGGTGCTTTTTCTGAAGAGCTGCCTTCTCTGCCTTTACTGCGAGCTGGTGGCTTCCTTCTCAGCGACAGCGGGCTTGAAAGTAATTGTGATTGGACCCACTGATGCCTTTCTGTTCAGTCTCCCTAATTACTTCTCTGTGTCCTGAAGATGGTAAAAGACAAAAAAGATGCAACAGAAAAAGCGGATTGTTTTTAATGATAGTGTTTTTCAGTCAGGTGTTAAAATTTTTTTTCCCCACTTAAGTCCAAATTGATTTTCTTTGAGGCTCAAGTTCTTAAAAATAAGGGGGCACCTGGGTGGCTCAGTTGGTTAAGCGGCTGCCTTCGGCTCAGGTCATGATCTCAGGGTCCTGGGATCGAGCCCCGCGTCGGGCTCCCTGCTCAGCGGGGAGCCTGCTTCTCCCTCTCCCTCTGCCTACCTCTCTGCCTTTGTGCTCTCTCTCTCTGTCAAATAAATAAATAAAATCTTTAAAAAAAAAAAAAATAAGGAGAGTAGCAAAGATGATATTTTGGGGATGTCATCCAAGGAGAGGAGAATGGTTACAATATTGATTGCACCAGAGTCACTGGATAAAATTAAGATGTCGTTAACGATGGATTGTTATATTAGAAGCTGGGACTCTTACCTAAATAAACGTGGATGGCTTGTGAAATACCGAGGGACTCATACCTAAGTAAATGTTGAGGGGCTGAAAATCAAGTATATTTAAGAGCTAGTGAGAATTACAAAGAAAACCAGAGTTGCCGATTCTTCTTTCTGGACACTTACAATGGAGTGTAGAGCAAGATACAAATATGTGAAAAGTACATCCTAATAGTAAATTAAAAAACAGTTTCATCCAACAATAGGAAGTGTTGCAATTGCATAATTATCCCTTTGTCATTGATCCCTGAGCTGAAGAATAACTTCCAGGGGCAGGGGATCTGTGATAAACAGGTGGGTGCCTGGGCAGGGAGTGCAGGAGGAGCTGTGGTGGTTACTGCAGGGTGGGACCCCGTTCTCTGGAGCTTTCTGCAGCAAGTTCATGGAGAAGGAAGGACTTCAAGCGAGTTTGAAGGGTGGCGACTGGATGGGCAGACAGGACGTGGGAGGCATTTTGAATGGGCAGGTTGGCACAAACAAACGGGATGCCATGGAGAAGAGGAAGGTGTGTTTAGGGGATTACATGAGAGCTGTTTTGTTTGGTCTAAAAGGTGACTTACAGAGGAGGATGGAAAGCTAAGTCCAAAGCTGTTCTGTAGGGCGCAGAGGAGGTTTTGAACTGAGGACTGACCTGAGACAGGCAGGGGTTTATGTGACTGGGAGGGAGGAGGAAGAGTGGGGGGAGGCTGTGAGGTTATGGGGGGCAGGGATGGGAGCCAGGAACCAGGGGCTATGAAAACAATAGAGAGAGAGAGAGAGATTTAGGAGATATTTCAAAGGGAGAATCAACAAGGCTTTTTTTCTGGATGTTGTGGAAAAGAGAAAAGACGGAGCTGGCCGGAAGAAGTCAAGTTTGGGTAACTGAAAAAAAGATGGTAATACCACTTAGAAAACCCAGGCAGATGGGATGCATGTGTCATATGGTTTAGGTTAACTTTATATTAACATCTTGCAGTCGGCCTCCTGTATCACTTCTACGGTGATGAGAAAGGAGTAGAGATTGGGTGTTCCAAGCTCCTCATTGTCCCACGAAGTAAGGGCAGGTGTGTAAATGGTAGAAGAGAGAAGCTACATGAGGCTAGATTAGCAGTCTGTTAGTCTGGGTTACCTCTGAGTCCAGACTCACAGGTGGAACCCAGAAGTACCATTCCTTTCACTCACTGGGTAGTTTGGGGGTATCCCACGCACTTGTCCGGGAACTAGCTGTAATGACAGACCAAAAAAGACCTGGTTCTTGCCCCAGTGTGCCTGAAGCTCAGATAATTACACAAATAAATGAGAGTCTAACTAGGACAAATGCTACTGAGACAGAGCACGTGGGGCTGGGAGAGCAGGTACTAGGGCTTTGACCTGTATTCAGCATCAGAACATTAGGGAAGGTCTCACCACAAAGCACTATTGTATGGAGTTGAAAAGTTGAATTCCTGCTGCCACAGAAAACCCCCACTTCTCGCCTTTTACCAGCTGAAGAAATCGTGTGAAACGCTTTCTCCTTATGGACCCCAGATTCCTCTCCCCTTCCCCCCAGCCCCCAGAAGCACACAAATCATAATCAGTTCTTTTCCCTCCGGAATTCCTTGATTGGTTTTTTCGCAGCAACATATCAAAATCTAGCAGTTTTCAAATGTTAGAGGATTTAAAATACGGTTTTTAGTTAAGTCTCTTCACCTATTTTGCTCCTCATCAGTGGTGACCAATAGAGAGCCCACAGTACCCTTGTGGGAGGAAGGAAACATTTTAACAAAACAAAACAAAAAACAAAAAAACATTTTTTTTTTTTGGACAAAAACAGTTGAAAATTATCTCCTGAAAGGAGTTTTCTACCACTTTCTAATACTATGACTCACTTAGAACCAGGATTACAGTTTCCTTTTCTTTCAGATGTTCTCATTTCCTTTTTCACTACCCCGCAGGGATGAGCTCTTCCGTCAAAGCCTGGCAAAGCTGCGCGAGCAGCTCGTGAAAGCTAACACCTTGGTAAGGGAGGCGAACTTCTTAGCTGAGGAAATGAGCAAGCTCACTGACTACCAAGTGACTCTGCAGATCCCTGCCGCAAACCTCAGCGCCAATAGGAAGGTAAGAGTGTTTTTAAAGAAAATGAGAGCAAAATGCACAACTTACGTACTATAAGATAGAATACACACCTGACATCCAAAAGAACATCCATGAGGAGATCTTGATGTGAGCCAGTGTATTTATTGTTTTTAAGACTTCCTCTATATTGGGGCACCTGGGTGGCTCAGGCGGTTAAACGTCTGCCTTCGGCTCAGGTCATAATCCTGGGGTCCTGGGATCAAGCCCCTCATTGGGCTCCCTGCTCAGGGGGGAGTCTGCTTCTCCGTCTCCCTCTCCTGCTCCCCCTGCTTGTGCTCTCTGTCAAATAAATAAATAAAATCTTAAAAAAAAAGAGGGGCACCTGGGTGGCTCAGTCATTAAGCATCTGCCTTCGGTTCAGGTCATGATCCCAGGGTCCTGGGATCAAGCCCCACATCGGGCTCACTGCTCAGCGGGAAGCCTGCTTCTCCCTCTCCCATTCCCCCTGCTTGTGTTCCTTCTCTCGCTGTGTCCCTCTCTGTCAAATAAATAAATAAAAATCTTTAAAAAAAAAAAAAAGACTTCCTCTATATTAATATAACATTGTTTGCCAACTAGGCTTCAATAGTAAAAATTAAAAATAAAAAAAAAGATTTCCTCTATAGACCCCCCCCAGAGTATATGTGCCCTCAGATATGTTAAAATTAGAAATATATATAAGTAATTCCTCTTGCTTTTCTCTTTCCTATGAATGGTCCTTTCTGGAATGAGAAGTATATGTTTTGTTATAGTACCATTTTTAAGAGTGGATTCTACAAGAAAGGAAGACTTGTAGAAGACTTTTTTTTGTACACAGAACAACTTTTTGCAGTCATTGGGAAGTTTACCATCATTTCAACTTGAAGGATTTTTTTTTCGTTTAAGAAGAAGCCTCAAAAGAAAATAATTTTTCATCCATTTGTGTTTGCCTCCAGCAAGCAAACTAGAAATGAGTCAGGGAGTATTTCATTAATCTTTCTGTATTTTAGTTCTTTGACCAAGCAGTTCTTTGAGAAATTTATCTTAAGTCCATGGTCATAGAAGTGTTCATAAAGATCATGTGCTTTTTGTAGAAGGATGCTTATCATAATGGCCTTTATAGTAGCAAAAATTTGAAATAGCCATGATGTTGAACAATATAACAATTTGTCAGATGAGTGGTATATACAAGTAATAGATTTCTGTGTTGCCACTAAAAATCATGTCTGTGAGGGGCGGCTGGGTGGCTCAGTCGTTAAGCATCTGCCTTCGGCTCAGGTCATGATCCCAGGGTCCTGGGATCGAGCCTCTGCGTCCGGCTGCCTGCTCCTCCCTCTGCCCCCTGCTCATGCTCTCTTTCTTTCCCTCTCTCTCTCAAATAAATAAATAAAATCTTTTTTAAAAGAAAAAAAATCATGTCTGTGAGGAATATTTAACAACACAAGAAGACCATAATATAAAAACTGTGGAGAGAGGATCAGGATAGGAGATTTACAGTTTTGTTTGTGGTTCTGCTGATGATAAAAGTAAAAAGCATGTGCATGGGTGTACACAGAAGATTTCATTAATCTTTTTGCATCTTAGTTGAAAATAAGCCAGAATGTTCCTTAGGTGGTAGAATTTCATCTTCTGTCTGTATACATTATTGAGTCTTTTTCAAACTTGCTACTTGACAATAACATATTTAACAATCCAAAAAGCCATAACAAGGCTCATTTGGTTTGTTGTGTGTTTTTGTTTTCCTTCACTCTGCAGAGAGGAGCCATCGTGAGTGAGCCAGCTATTCAAGTGAGGAGGAAAGGAAAGGGCACCCAAGTTTGGACCATTGAGAAGCTGGAGAATAAATTAATTGATATGAGAGACCTTTATCAAGAATGGAAGGAAAAAATTCCTGAGGTAAAAGAGATAAATGTCAAGGAGATTTGACCATGTTGAAAGTGCAGAATGTAAGTGATAATCACCGTCAGAACACACACACGCGTGGCAGTGACTATCTGCGGTCGTACTTTGGACATTGATATTAGAAAAGTAACATAGAAGTGACCTTGAAAGGGGTGCTAAGTTGAATCAGTCATAGAACATGCGATCCCCACATGGACAGGAACTGAATGAAGAGAACACGTGACATATTCTTAGTTGGCAGGGTTTTTGCTACATTTCAAGTGAAATGAAATAGAACAAAGCGAATCTGTGCTGTTTGGTCAGTGTTGTGACAAATCCACAAGAATGGAGCCAGCTTGGATTTCGTATTCGTTAGCATGTGTTCATGCTCCCCCAGCTGTGATCGTGGCTGGGGAGATCACAAATAATTTTAGAAAGCACAATCCATCTTTTTGGATACTAGTAATGGAAAAGAAGCCTCGGTGAAGGAAATGAGGCAAAGCACAGGGAATGGAGTGAAAAAGGCTGCACAGGGGGTGTGATAGGGAAGAGAGGCAGTAACTAAGGAAGAGCTCTCCCCACAGACATCATGTAGTCCCCCAGCTGTCGAGTCCCTCCCATGTGCTACTTTTGTTTTATTTTTGCGACATGATTGTAATACTACCTTTTAAATTTCTTTGGATAAATGCTTTCTTTTTCAAGAAACATTTTTTAAGTGCCAGTTTTAAATAATATTATCCAAGTTGGTGTTTTGTTTCCTACTCACCTCCCCCACACCCCCCCCATTAGGCAAAGCGTCTCTGTGGGAAACGAGGTGACCCTTTCTATGAAGCCCAAGAGAATCACAACCTAATTGGCGTCGCTAATGTGTTCTTGGAGTGTCTCTTCTATGACGTGAAACTTCAGTATGCAGTTCCCATCATCAGCCAGCAGGGGGAGGTAAGGACAAGCTATCCTTGGAGGAAACAGTTAAAGGGTGTGTATCTGTCTGTGTGAATCCAATGTAAGTTATTCTCTTGAGGTGTATCAGGAAACTAGGGTGAATAGTCAGGATCACATTCTTTCTTTGCTCGTATCAATAGAAACTATCAAAATTAAATCATGGTTTTTTAAGATTATAAGTTTAAAACCATATAAGATTATTATAACATGTTTATTTATGGTTCATGAGTTTTTTTCTTTGTTTTAATCAAATTAGAAATCTTTTGGAAACCAGATTCAGCTCTGTCCCCCTATTTATCTCCCTTTAATCTATTATGTTTGTAATATACTCAAATTCCTTCCCGGCCCCTGTGTGGTCTTCACAAGATACAACTTGGGAGCATTATTTTGAAATCTAAAGTATTCAAGGAAAACAAGCTTAACCCCTTTTAAAAAACAAAAGAAAACAAAATACTTCACATTTCAGTTACTTATATGTATTGACCTTATTATGTAGGCCTAAGACATTTTAGAAAATACTCAAGTTCAAACTGTTTGATTTTTATCCATTTCATCAACTGATGTTTTTATTTTAAATTTAGTAGCACCATTATTCTGTAGCTTGCCCTTCCATAACGTGCAGACTTGAAATACTTAGTTATCTCTTGTGATCCTTGAGGCAGGCTGTGAGCAGGATGCCGTTCTGCCCAGAGTGAACCAGGAAGCAGCGCCCAGGTTCCCAGCTGTGGCGTGTACGTGCACAGCTCACGTTCTGCATGTGGCAGCCCCCCTGGGGACATTCTGCTCTAGAAGCCCAGTGGGCTGGAATTGCTTTTTCCCATGTGAAAAATGGGCACAGCTCCTGTGGCAAAGGAATCCAATGACTCAGTTCTTAAGCCATGGTCTGGGCTGGGCTTTAAGTGTTCCATTCATCCCTCTGAAATTATATTAAAAATGTATTAATTCTCAAAGACCATTGAAAAAAATCTTGAGAACTATTGTCTTCAAACTGATTTCTGCCATTCCCCCTCCTCTGATTCCTCCATATCGGTCTCACTCGTCCAAGACCATCGGCGAATTTCTCAAGTCTCTGCTGCCAATGGCAGTTGGGTCTGACTCCCTTTAAAAATGGGCCTTACTATTTAAGAGCAGCACTGCCAGGACGTGTCCCCTTCACAGCTCCAGCCACTGCAAACTTAACCCGTGTTATGAAAGATAACTTGGCCAGTTACAGCGCTCTGAGGGTGCCAAGTGCGGGGTAATTCTTGTCCTTCAGTTCAGTTCTGGGCACCGCTAACCTAACTCCTGTACAGAGGACCACCAGGCTGTTGACATGTTAAGCCTTTTGTGGAGGGGGGACAGCTTTAAAGGAACTGTTTCCTTATAACTTTGTCCTTGTGTTTGTCATTCCTCCTGGCATGGGTCTCCTTCCGCCGTGGAGCCCGCCTCCACCCTGCTCCCAGCCCCAGTGAGTCACATACCCATTCTCTGCTCCCAAGAGAGTAGACTCTCCAGGAGCCTGGTGACCGTGTCTTTTGGTTTACTGTTGTAAATGCAGTGGTTCGTGCAGTTCCCGGCACACGGCTGATTCCTGGATCAGTTTAACCCATCACAACCTGCACGTAGCTCTGCTATTTGTCTCAGTAGTCCCGTGAGGCAAGCGTTTGGTCAGCAGACTAAATGAATGAATACATATGAAGTGGAAAATAAACCACTCCAGGTAGAATACGAGAGCTGCCTTTACTCTGTTCATGGGCTGCCTGTAAAGAAGGATGAGAAGGAAGATGACTCCAGAAGGCAAGTGGCAGAGAGGCAGGTTTGGCTCCAAGTCAGGCAGGGTGATTGCAGGGGCAGGTGATGGAAGGACTGGCTGTGGAAGACGTGAGTTTCCCATCGCCGGAGCAGACCCAGCAGCAGCCCGGGGCTCTGGCAGCGTGCTCTCCATCTCAGGTCAGGCTTGTGCACATGATGCCTGTAACCCACAGGCGCTCTGGTCCCTGCCGCAGGTTGCTGGGCGTCTCCATGTGGAAGTGATGCGAGTGACAGGGGCCGTCCCGGAGCGCGTGGTGGAGGATGACTCCTCGGAGAACTCCAGCGAAGGCGGGAGCCTTGAAGTCGTGGACAGCAGCGGGGAGGTCATTCACCGAGTCAGGAAACTGACATGCCGGGTGAGAGGGCAGGATGGGCGGGCGCCGATAAACCACCGTGTTCAGCCAAAGCAGTCAGACAGAAGATCTTGGGAGTTTTTCGTAGAGCGTAGTAAACGATAAGCCTTCTGACCACAAATACCACGGCGGGCAATACTTTTTCCAGAAGTAGAGCGCACTTTCTGATGCCAGTTGATGAAATTTTAAAAAGCCCACGTGCTTTTGGCTGCAGGAAGTATACATTGTTCAAGGAATCGTGATTTTCCAGTAAAGGTTGCTTCTGTGTCAGAAGCTCAGCCACTAGGAAAATTTGAGAGGATGTGTGTGTTTGTTGCCAGGCTCACGTGCTGCAGTGGTGGTCCTGGTACAGACTGATTATAAGTGGAACCCTTCACGTGCCAGATGTTTTCACATGTCAAACGGATAACTGATTTACGTATTTCATCGCAGACTCTTAGAAGTATTAGAAGTAAGCATGCGTAGGTTAATGTTTTCTCTATCAGAATTACATTGCATTCTTTTTCTTTTAATCTCTTTAGGTAAAAATTAAAGAGGCAACTGGGCTGCCCTTAAACCTCTCAAATTTTGTCTTCTGTCAATACACATTCTGGGACCAGTGTGAATCTACGGTGGCGGCCCCAGTGGTGGACCCCGAGGTGCCTTCGCCTCAGTCCAGGGACGCCCAGTACACCGTCACCTTCTCTCATTGTAAGGTATGGGTGCCATTACAAGATGAGTTACACGGGAGGCAATGGACCTGGGTGCCATTCAAAACTCTTCTTATAACTTACAGGTTCCCCCCATAAGAATGTTTAATAAAGGTAATATGTGTGTTGCACTTTTTAACCTCAAAATGTACTTCAGTACAAATTCAGATGGGAAGTTGTTTTGTTTTTTTTTTTAAAGATTTTCTTTATTTATTTGACAGAGAGAAACAGCGAGAGAGGGAACACAAGCAGGGGGAGTGGGAGAGGGAGAAACAGGCCTCCCGCCGAGCAGGGAGCCCGATGAGGGGCTCGATCCCAGGACCCCGGGATCATGACCTGAACCGAAGGCAGATGGTTAACGACTGAGCCACCCAAGCGCCCCTCAGATGGAAAGTTTTTAAAATAAAATCTGGGGGTGCCTGGGTAGCTCAGTCATTAAGCGTCTGCCTTCAGCTCAGGTCGTGATCCCAGGGTCCTGGGATCGAGCCCCACATCCAGACTCCCTGCTCAGCGGGAAGCCTGCTTCTCCCTCTCCCACTCCCCCTGCTTGTGTTCCCTCTCTCGCTGTCTCTCTCTCTCTCTGTCTGTTAAATAAATAAATTCTTTTTTTTTAAATAAATAAATAAATAAAATAAAATCTGAAAGGCCTTTCCCTGAAGTCTTAGACCCTAGAGGTGTAATGGCTAGTGACATTTGTATACATTTTGATAAACTATTTTCTGTGCCCTCCAACTTTTATCTGTGTGTGGTCAATATATGTTCACACAGCAATGGGCATAGATACAGTCTGTTACCATCATGCATGCATAACGTCTTTAGAAAAAATTTTTTTTTTTTTTATAAAAAATGTGGTCATGTTATGTATATTGCAGAATTAGACCCTTTAATATAGGTGAACCTCTTTCCAATCTTTGGAATATGGTATAACACTCCAAGCATCGTATTCTAATGTGCCAAATGAGTTTTTAAAGAAAATGTCAGTGGACAAGGTGAATTTTTGGTGACTGTTGGTTGGCCTTGTCGTGTGACCATCAGCCACCCTTCCTGGTTTTCACGTCAGACTGCCCACAGGTTGTTTCTGACTGACAGACAGACACTACGTTCTGTTGTAATTTTGTTTTTCCTTGCACAATTCTTAACAGATACTCCAAACCCTTTCCTTTGGAAATTGTGCTTTTTCTTTCTGGCTCTACACCTATCAAATTTCACATAGGTAAAAGACTGTCAAGTCTTTCTTTTTCTGAAAACAAATAGTCCACTCTTTTTTTTCTTTCACCTATATTCACCAAGTCTGTTTCTCAAAATCCTTGTGAGTTATTTTTTGGTTATTGTTGTCTGAATACTCTCTTAAATAGTCCCCGTCTTTCTTTGGATCCACAAAGCTGTTCCTGTAGAAGGATGAAGCCTGAATTTTAAGTACATTCTGGTTAGCAACTATTTTGATAAACGCTAGTCACAGAGACCTTGGATTCTCACTGTATGACCTTGGATTCACTGTGTGAACTTGGGGTTTTTTTCATCAATAAGATGTGTAGATTGTACTAATTGATCATTAGTTTGTTTTCCTTCTAAAATTCTGGCTCTGTCTCCAAATACAATAAGTAAGAAGGTAAGTAGTAGAATGTTAAATCAACACAGCACAGGTCTTTCCAGAATTGAGAGCTGTGGAGTTGTCTTCACCAGAGACTTCACTAAGATGCTGCTGGGAAGATGCTCGGCTTGGCCCCTTGCCTGCCGCTTTGTTCAGGGTGATTTCCATACTCCGCAGTCCACTGGGCGTTCATTCCCTCACGTTCCTCTGTCTGCGTTTCATGATGAGGAGCTGGAGCGGGGGAGTTTCAGAGCAAGAGCACAGAATCATGAAGATAATCATAGGAAATTTAATTCTGTTCACAGTCTCCCAAGCCATAGCAAGGAGCAATCAGACGTTCTTTTTTTGTGATGTGCTGATTAGCCTACTGCGGCGGGAGTTCTGAGTGGTCCTGCAGAACCACGAAGGAACCAGGTGCGAGGTGCGGGTTCACTCACAAGCACCGGGATGCAGGACAGGACGCTTCCTTCAGTGTCCGCCCTGATTAAAGAAGGGAGTTGCACTCAATCCCTCCTTCCTTGCTAGTATAAGAGCTAGTATTCCGGGTTTTTAAAACAGCACAGGTGGCTTTCAGGTTGGGATCAGACTAACCACCTCCAAAGTGGATCTCTACACAATGGAAAGGTAAAAACGGAAATTGCACAGATTGCTCGGTGCGTGATTCTCGTTGCTCTTCCCTTGCTCCCACTTGCCCCAGGACTACGTGGTGACGGTGACAGAGGAGCTCCTGGAGTTCCTGTCCGACGGAGCCCTGGCCATTGAGGTGTGGGGCCACCGCTGTGCTGGGAACGGCAGCTCTGTCTGGGAAGTCGACTCCCTTCATGCGAAGACGAGAACGTTGCATGACAGGTGTGTACTTGGCTGGGCTGATGCAGGCTCAAGACTAGCACTAGGCCAGAGGGCAAGAGTGGGGGTCCCTGGGCCTGCCTCCTCCTCGGTGCAATGGGAACGGTAAAAGGAGCTAGCCGGCGTTGAGGACGTCGGATGGGGGAGGAGAGCCTTTCCAGCAAACAGTACTGAAACAACCGCGTGTCTGCTGGGTCAAAACCAACCTGGATCTTGGCTTCACACGATACACAAAACTTATTTTGAGATGGATCGGAACCTTTCATGGGAAAGATGAAACTGTAAAGCTTGTAGAAAAAAAAAACAAACAGGATATTTTCCTTTTTATTTTTTTTCCTCTTTTTGGAAGCTTTTATAAAAGTCTGTATAGAGCAATATTTAGACTCCAGATTCGGCTGCCAAGGAGCACCTGTTGTGCTGTGGGCACTGGCCGGGGCGCGGCAGGCTGCTCTAGCTTCCCGTGTTCCACAGTGGAGGTGCTGGGCAGTATTTCACCTTCGGGGTCCCCAGTGCTCACATGGTGAGGCACAGACCTCTTAGGGCCTGTCTCGTCACAAGGGTCCCAGGGAAGCACAGTCTTCACTTTGTTGCCCAGCACATCCTGTCTGAGCAGCAGTTAACAGGGTCCCCACTGGTAATCATCAGGCCAGCCACAAACTTGCTGGATTTGGCCCTCTGTCCTCAGATGTCCTGGACACCAGGACCCCACTGCTCTTTGACCCCACTCTCCACGGTGAACCACTGCACGCCGTGGCAGACCTGCCACACAACAAGGCGTCCTAGGAGCTGGTCACGCAGAGACTTGGCCTGGGTGATACCACACGGACCTCCCATGGCCACCTTTTTAGCATAAAGCTCTCCACTGCCCTCGGGGAAGCCACACCTCTACTGAACCGCTGCAGTCAGTTCTCAGGTCCACCAGCCCTTTTCCCCAAAAACTGCGCATCCTGGTAGCCGAGATCATGATTTCTGTCCCGGTTCTGTAACTCGTACCTCAGCTCCAGAGTAGCCATCCTCAGCCACCTCCTCAGTGAGAAACTCATTCACTTGAGCTTTGAAGACGCCATCGGCCCCGAGCTTCCCCTTTTGGAAATTTGCCCCGTCATCTTGCACAGGAGGATATCTTCTTGGAAATTTGATCCTTTGCCTTTTCTGTGACCTAGCAATCTACTCCTGGGTATTTCCCCAAGAAAAATGAGAATGTAAGTCTGTACACAGGCTTGTTCACAAATGTTCATGGCAGTTCTTTTTATAATATCCCCCAAACTGCCAAGAACCCAAATGTGTGAGAACGTTTGATAAACAAATTATATTACTAGTCATGTAACGAGTATTACCCAGCTCTGTTAACAAGGAGAAGGACAACGGATACCCATCTGAATGAATCGCAGAAACGTTACGCTGAACCAAGAAAGCCAGACTTAAAAGAGTACGCATTAATGATTCCCTTTTTATGAATTTCTAGGACAAGCAGAACTAATTTATAGTTACATGGCCGCTGCGGGATGCTGTGGGTATTGAACGCGAAGGGGCGTGAGCAAACTTGCAGAGGCACACAATGGGGTAGTGACAGAGGTGTCTGCATTTTCTTTTTCTTTTTCTTTTTTTTTTAAAGATTTTATTTATTTGAGAGGGAATGAGAGAGAGAGAGGGAGAGCATGAGAGGGGGGGGGGTCAGAGGGCGAAGCAGACTCCCTGCCGAGCAGGGAGCCCGATGCGGGACTCAATCCCGGGACTCCAGGATCATGACCTGAGCTGAAGGCAGTCGCTTAACCAACTGAGCCACCCAGGCGCCCCGAGGTGTCTGCATTTTCACAGTTCATCAAACTCTACTTGGAAACTGGACATTTCACTGAATGTACATTATACCTCAATAAAATAAAGAGAAAAGACAAACCATAGGGTTGTTTTGAGAGTCAAGTAAGAAAACCTACATGACAGCACGCTGTCCAGCCCATAGTCAGAGCTCAGGGGGTGGTGGCTCCTTCCTGTTGCTCATGATGTCCCTGGGCATTGACGTTGTTGTCCACGGGAACGTGTTTGCACAGGTGGAATGAGGTAACACGGAGAATAGAGATGTGGCTCTCCATACTGGAATTGAACGAGCTGGGAGAATACACCGCAGTGGAACTTCACCAGGCAAAAGATGTCAACACGGGAGGCATCTTCCAGCTCAGACAGGTACTAGGCTTGGTTTTCTTTGTCTTTGTTTTCTCTTTGTCCCACTCTTCCACACCGTTTCTGGGAATTTTCTAATTATGGGTTTCTGTATTCCCTGATTCTCTTCCTTTATCCTGTTCCCCCATTCCTTGCCCTTCCCACTCCTGGAACCCTTTGCCGCCACCCCCCGCCCTCTGCAGGGTCATTCCCGGAGGGTGCAAGTCACGGTGAAACCCGTGCAGCATTCCGGGACACTGCCACTCATGGTCGAAGCCATCCTGTCTGTCTCCATTGGCTGCGTCACTGCCAGGTCCACCAAGCTGCAGAGAGGGCTGGACAGTTACCAGGTAAGACCAGCAGATTGGAAGTAGTCTGCAGCGAGGACCAGCTAATGCACAGAAAGGCAGTCAGTGATCTGGGATGCAGATCTTTGGGGAATATGACCGAACTCCTTGTCCTGACCTTATCTGTAGCCCTCCCTCCACATTTCCATCCATTGCCTTTTTTACGAGATTTGTGAAATACTATACCAGCTTAGTGTCGATTAATAATAATTTTATTTGTAAACACACATATGAATGATATGTTACTCATTTACTTCAGACAGATTTCATTTTCTGTCTGGCTCCAGTTAGGTTATGTTGGATATTTGGCATGGCTGCCTGGCCCAGTCCGCTTTTATTAATATAAAATTGCCTCCATACACTGGCATAATTTTTTTTTTAAAGATTTTATTTATTTATTTGACAGAGAGAGACACAGCGAGAGAGGGAACACAAGCAGGGGGAGTGGGAGAGGGAGAAGCAGGCTTCCCGCTGGGCAGGGAGCCCGATGCGGGCTCGATCCCAGGACCCTGAGATCATGACCTGAGCCGAAGGCAGACGCTTAACGACTGAGCCACCAGGTGCCCTACACTGGCATAATTAAGCAGTTCTTTGAAAGCTTTCCTTTTTTTTTTTTCCCCAGTTAAAAGTTGTCTTCATGATCATTTTTGTCCATTAAATCCTCCTTTACTAAATCTTCTGTTCTCATTTTAAAATTAAAAGATTGGGGGGCACCTGGATGGCTCAGTTGGAAGAACATGCGAATCTTGATCTTGGGGTCGTGAGTTCCATATTGGGTGCAGACTTTATTTTTTAAATAAATAAGTAAATATTTATAAAAAGTGAAAAATGAAAACATCAAAGAATGAATCTTCATGTTACCAACCCCATCTCTTCATCACTCCGTGAGAATGAACTTTGAGATTAGGAACTTGCCCGCAGTGGCCTGAAAGAAGGCATGTGCTTTCGCTCAGTCCCCAGTTTACTGTCAGGTATGAATTAGGGGAGGAATCAGCCCATTGAACTCTGGCTGCCTCACTACCACAGGAGAGAGGGAGCACGCTCTGTTGTGACATTGCTCTGTGGCGTCTGGGCAGAGGCCCAGCCTGTCTTGAAAATGATTCATCTTCAGTCTCAGTTTCCTTGCACTCCCTGGCATTCAGGCAAAGACTTTCTGAAAGCTAGAAGGAACACTGGCTTGGCCTACGAGGCCTTAGGAAGGCATAGTTTTGTCAAACGCTGCCTTCCCTGTCCCAGGCCAAAATTGCCTCTGGTTCTCAGAGCCAGAGAGAGTATGAAGGAAGGCCTGAGGACAGTCTGCTCTTCTAGGGTAGGCTTCTCCGCCAGACTTTTCCTCATGTGTGGAGTAGGAGACTGGGTTATATGGATTCTCATCCCAGCTCAGTCCCTCACTCAGCCATCAACTTTGGGGGGTGCTACAGGGCCTGGTAGAAAGGTCGCCAGCCTGGAACCAGGGGGACCTGGATTCTTCAGTCTAGCACGGCCTTCCTGGTTACCTTGTTGGGATAATGCAAACCTCTAGTTCCCCTTCTCTCTTCTCCAGAATGATGAAGGAGACTTAATAATTCCCTGAGATCCCAGTCTATACTAAAATTTTGTGGTTTAGTAAATCTCTCACCTTAGATAGAACTTTGAATTTACATCCTAAATCAAGACCTATAAAACAGGGATCACCAACTGACTACGTGTTCCCATTTGAAGAACCTTATAAAGATTGATTATTTGCACTTTTAAAACTGCTCTACCTCCTGATTTGTCAAAATTCGAGCTTCCCCCAGTGCTAAATGCTCTTTAAAGAACATAGTGCCAGTCATGCAGATTTAAACTGTGACTATTTCAGGGCACCTGAGTGGCTCAGTCATTGAGCGGCCAACTCTTCATCTCAGCTCAGGTCTCGATCTCAGGGTTGTGAGTTCAAGCCCCCTGTTGGGCTCCACGCTGGGCATGGAGCCTGCTTAAAAAATCAATCAATAAACTGTGGCTAATTTTTTTATAAAGATTTTTTAAATTTTATTTATTTTGGAGAGAGAGGACAGAGGGAGAGGGAGAAAGAAGGAGACTCCCCGCTGAGCACAGAGCCCGGTGTGGGGCTCGATCCCATGACCCTGAGATCATGACCTGAGCTGAAATTAAAGAGTCGGATGCTTAACTGACTGAGCCACCCAGGCGCCCCTAAACTGTGACTGTTTTAAAGCTTTTATTTTTCTTTGCAGCCATGCTCAAAGTCACATCCAGAACTTATTTTGTTGACGTAGTACTTTAGAAATATTCTGATGCAGTAGCTCAAGCCAGTCCAGAATATGCTGATTTCACAAGTTATACATCATGAAAGCTCAGGCTAGTTCTCAGTTAATAGAAGAATCTCCTTAGTCTAAAAAATAGTAATGATAAATTCAAGCTACTTGAACTTTATTCAGTAATATGGGGAATTAAGTCAAGAAAAATTACTTCAGTGGGTATCTGGCTGGCTCAGTCAGTAGAGCATGGGACCCTTGACCTCAGGGTTTTGAGTTTGAGCCCCACGTTGGATATAGATACTACTTAAAAAATAAAATCTTGAAGAAAAAAGAAAAATTACTTCAGTATTAGGCATGCATTTAGTAATTTAGTTACTCAAATGATAACGGTGGGTTCCAAACTTAAAAAAAAAAAGTGGATTTTGAAATCTATGTAGAGAATGTTTAACTGTATTTTTTTTTTTTTAAGATTTTATTTATTTATTTGAGAGAGAATGAGAGAGAGAGAGAGCACGAGAGGGAAGAGGGTCAGAGGGAGAAGCAGACTCCCCGCCGAGCAGGGAGCCCGATGTGGGACTCGATCCCGGGACTCCAGGATCAAGACCTGAGCCGAAGGCAATTGCTTAACCAACTGAGCCACCCAGGCGCCCCTTAACTGTATTTTTAAAGCATTTTTAAAAAGCAGTATATATTGAAGCATCCTTACATATGAGAGTAATGTAATTATATTTTTAAAGCACTTAAAAGAAAAAGGTTTGTCTTTTTATGACTAGACCACTTCACTGCCTGTTTGAATATTAACCCTCCAGTAACTGTAGAAAAAAGCCAAAGACGATCATTACATGGGCCAGGGTTCATTTTGAGTAGAATCTGCCTCCCTGTAGTTGGTTATTTCCCTACAAATGGGAGTTTCCTTATTCTCCTGTCTAAGGAAACCTGTCTCAACTAAATCCTTTTATTTTCAACATGGTGGTTTTGTTTTGCCAAATGTTTTTGCCAAAATCGTTACTTTATACAATTATTGTAAACTCTTGCCGTGGGTTTAGGACAGTTCTGATTTTTCTCAACTGATTGGTATGATGCTAACATAACCAGTAATGGACGACACTGGATCCAATATTCAGCATGGCGGGCTGTGTTCTTGAGACCGTTGTACGCTGAGGAAGCCTGTCTGTGAATAGCCTGAGGCTCCCGGTGGGCTTTCACCCGTGAGGATTTCCTCAGTGCATGTGGTGTCGTGCAGGGGGAAAGGACACTGAGTGGGGTAACTAGCAGCCTGGCACCCAGTCCTGACTCTGCCACCATTTGTGTGATCCTTGGGTTAAAACATTTCATCCTCCGGGGCCCCGTCTGCCTCACAGCTAAACTAAGAGATTGAGCAGTAGAGTCTAGTTCTACCATTTTGTCCTTCTGAGTGCGTTCCAAATCTCAGATAGCCCACCCAGAAATGCATATGCGCCATTCGCATAATGACAGGGTAAGGCCTGGCCCGGTGAGGTTGATTCCTAGTCCCATCGAAGAGAGTTCTTGTTTTTTTTTTTTTTTTTAAATGGTTGCTTTCTTTATTAAAAACATAACAAAACAAAACCCAAATTCTTAGAGGCGAGTGAATTAAATCCACTAAACCTTGCAATTCATTTAAATGTTTTATTATGCTGGGTGTTCCGTGTGCTGTCCATTGTAATGTGTGTGTTACGCTTAAAGAATTACCTGTGTGCTGTTTGAGAAACAAAAATGCATGTCCTTTGTGTTTATTTTTTTCCTCCCAGAGAGATGATGAGGATGGTGATGATATGGATAGTTATCAGGTATCATTGTTGCTCTCATTCTGTGGCATGGGGCACAGCTACTGCTAATGGCTAGCATCTGCAAAGCACAGGGCAGGGAGGAGGAAGGAGGACCATGGAGCAAGAATATGCAGACTCTCACTCGCTTTGGATTTGCTTTAAACATAATCAGGGATACAATACTATTGCCATAGATTTCTCTGTCCGTTCAAAATGTACAATCGGATACTGCATTGCTGCTATGCTATCTTGAATTAGCTTGTAAAGACTTTCGAAGCAAGACCATTATCACTGTATTAAGTTAATGATTTTAAAAACCGTGGAATTGTCCATCCACAATCTTTCAGTTGAACCTTGTGTTTTCTATGCAAAACTGCACTTCGTGCCTCACGTCCAAGAGAGTAGGACTGTTCTAATATGCAGTTTTAGTTTAAAAGTCTCTTGCTGGATAGGAAATTGAAAACATTTCATGCACATAGTTTAGTTTGGGTTAGCCAGCTTCTTTCTGTCATTAGGACCCAGCTTAATTATACATAACTTGGAGAATTTAAATCTCAGCTTTTTCTTTTTGGAAATTCAGGAAAAAAAAAAAAAGGCCCCTGTGAACTCGTCCCTAGTCAGCACTGGCCAGCCTCCTGTCATGGAATGTGGGATGATAGGAATAGGCAAGGCAGCAAATCAAGGTGAAGTTTTCTGGGTTTGGTTCCCAGTCTTTATACTCATTCTCCACAGTTTTCCCGGGGTGCCTTCCTGTATGTGAACTGTGGGTACACTGTAGATAGAGCCTCAGAAGTCCCCTGCCGCCCGCTCTTAATGCCACGTCTTAAGGGTTAGACTGGAATGAGGCAAGTCAGAGAGCATTTTGAGTAGAATTGATGGGTTTCTTTCCCTCATAACTTCACTAAGAAAGAAAACAAGCAAACGAAAACCAGCTTCAGGGGTGAAATCCCAGTCTCCCCTTGGATCTCAGCAATGCCATTAACTAACGTCCTGCTGCTGTCTGTGCGCTTCCGGCCACATTGTTCACGGCCAAGTCCCAGCGGCTGCTTCTGGGAGTTCTTAAAGCATGGCTGGCTGCATGATGGCTGTTTGCATGGGAGAGTTTTGGTGAGCCTTATGGTAGTGGTTGGAGGTAAAATCTTGGCAGCAAGTTTGAAAGGTTCTCTGCTGATCTGTTCTTTGCATTTCAGAAAATACATGTTTCGAAGCCATTGAACGATGAACTGTGAAAATGCCTGTTTTCTCTTTTTCCATTCCATTCGCTGTTCCATGATTTGGGCTCTGTTCATGGTGTCCTTCTGCTTGGAATCACACATCCTTTAAATGAATAGCTCTGATTTAAACACACACACACACACACACACACACACACACACACACACACGTAAGAATCATCCCCACAGCTGGTGTAGTTTGAGCTTCTCTTGCTTTTAAGTATAATTATCCTTTTGGCAATCCAGGGGCTCTGATTTCTGAGTAATGGGTTCCTTGATCAGCATGCTGTGTTTCTGAGGCCTCTTTGCTTTCTTGCATATTAATCACACAGCGGTGTTCAGTGGCCTTTCCGAATGAAAACTTTCCTGATCCATGTAAACATCTTTGCTAAAGAAAAAAAAAAGAGTCGTCTATGTATTCTACAGGAAAATGTTTTCCCTCCCCAACATCAGGAAGAAGACTTAAACTGTGTGAGAGAGAGGTGGTCTGACGCACTCATCAAACGACGAGAGTACTTAGATGAGCAGATTAAAAAAGTCAGCAATAAAAAAGGTATGTGAGATTAAACTCTTTCCCGGGAGTGGCCTTTTCCCTTCTAGACAGTGGTCGGAACAATATGATCTTAGTGTTCTGACCTCATAACAGTTATAGACAGTAGTGACTCCTTTGGCATGGTATTGGATTGGAAAGTAATGAACGTTCATAAGCCTCTGAGTGAACTGTGACGTTAAACGTTAAACTCGAATTTAGTTCTGAAGAATGCAAATGCCATCAGAACCCACGTGTCCTTATGAGGCGTTCCGGGCTCCAGACCTGGGACTGACAGCAGCTCTCGGGTCACACGTGGCAGGTCAGCACCCAGCTCCTGTGGGGCGGCAGCGATGCGCTCAGCTGGTGCAGGTGGGCCTCCTGGCCACTCAGCTCCAGGGACGCAGTTTGCTTTTGCTGGTGGCAGCCATGTGGGCTCCAGGGTAGAGCTATGTTCTTAAAACCCTCAGTTTCTCACCCCAACTTGATGGTCCATGCATTGTGGTGGGTTCTGCATCAAAGGACACATTATGAGTGTTCATCCATTTCAGGTAGAAGTTAGCAGAAGCTCCCCGCTCAGTAGAACATCTTGGCTCAGCGTTCTTGATGTCAGTTTGTATATGTGCTCAAGCTGCTGATGGAAACTCGCTTTGACTCTACCCAGATAGCTCCAGGGTGGAATTATGAATCAGAGGGTTTCAAAATATGTTCCGTAAAATCCCTTTAGTAAGGAACATAAAGGACAGTAAAGTTAGTTTTACAGAGTGTGGTGTGTTTTAATCCTCTGTACAGTAGTGTATAGTTTTATAATGCAGTGTCACATCCATTATGTCACTGGCTCTTTCCAACAAGAGTGTAAAGTAGACGTGACTTGTATGAGCCCTATCTGATGGATTAGGAAGCCCAGACTTGTCTGTCGAATAACTTGCACAGAGTACAGAACCAGGAAACATAACCCGTGCTCTCATCCCTGTCCTGATGCTCGCTCCATGTCCCTACCCGGAGGTCCATCCAATGAGAATCCTAGCCTCTCTGAGCTTGTCTGGGTGCTCAGGCTGGAACTTCAAAGCCTCCCATCCTCTTTTGGAACATCATGGATGTTCCAGCCACTTGGGTATGTCACCAAGTGAAAACCTGTTTATTTTAAATCTGGAAATTATCTTTTCCCCCACCTCGGTGCTCATCCCCTCATTTTGTCCTGCAGAGAAGACGGAGGACGACGTGGAGCGGGAAGCCCGGCTTGTGGAGCAGTGGGTGGGCCTGACCGAGGAGAGAAACGCCGTGCTGGTGCCTGCCCCCGGCAGCGGGGTCCCTGGGGCGCCCGCCCACTGGTGAGTGGCCTGACAGGGTGGGGCGGACGGCCTGCACCAGAGTCGTGCGAGGGACTTTCCAGGACTGTCACAGTCCATGCTGAGTGCCATGAGCTGCTCAGGGAAGGACCACCCATGTCTCGTGCCGCCTTCCCTTTTTCCTTCCCCACGGCAGCCAGCTTCCTCTCCCAGGGAGCCGGGGAGCGTCTGTTGATTACCTGGCCAGGAAGCAAATACCACACTTCTCAATTTCTCCACATGAGCAACTTGGACAGGGTTTCCTCATCCCCAGAAATTCTCTTATTTCGGCTTAAAAGAAGGGTGTATCCAGAGTCTACTTGAAGAGGGGAGAAGATACAGGTTCTTTCTGGCCTTCGTGCCTGCTCAGTTTGGTCCCTAGCAGAGAGTCAGGTCCTGAGCCCTAAGTAACCATGGTCAGTCAGTTGATTAATCAGTCCATCCCAGTGCTCATCAGAAACAGCATGGTATCCTAGGCTCTGGAGTCAGATCTGGATTGAGTTTCCAGCTGCAGTGTTAAATGTTGTTAACTTCTCTGAGGCTTTGTTCTTTTTTTTTTTTTTTCAAGATTTTATTTATTTATTTGAGAGAAAGAGAGAGAGAGCGAGCAAGAGCAGTGGGGAGGAGCAGAGGGAGAGGGAGAAGCAGGCTCCCCGCTGAGCAAGGAACCCGATGTGGGACTCGATTCCAGGACCCCGAGATCATGACCTGAGCTGAAGGCAGACGCTTCACCGACTGAGCCACCCAGGTGCCCCAAGGCTTTATTCTTAATCTATGAATGGAGCCCCATTTTTGGTACTGTTGAAAGGATTAGAGATAATGTATTAAAAACACCTTGTTGGTGCCCATTTGTTAAGTGGTAACTACTCCTGCTGCTGCTTATTCTCATTCTCATTCTTATTGCAAGAGTATGTCCTAGGCATTTAGGGGAAATCAGACTCCTTTTGAACAGAGGGTGTATATGCCCACATAGTCTCTTTAGGGTAGGCGCAGAAACATCAGTGTGTTATTTGCGTCTATAATGATAAAGGGAAGTATAATGGAGTTGATAGTATTATGAAACCAGCAAATCTGAATTTTCTGGCACATAATTTGTGACCTGATGTTCCTCCCTGCAGTCCCGGAGTCCTGCAGAGCACACACGCCGTCTGTCTGCCAGCCACATGGTTGCAGACGGCCACCTCGTTCCCAGTCCTGTTCTCCCTGAGGCCCTGTCTGGACAGCCCTTCTCCTTAGCCCAGTCACTTTCGTTTGAGCCACTTCCAAACTTCAGGTCATCTTGACTGTAAAATGTGGAGTCCTGGGTCCTGTCTCTTGTTATTTTGATTTACAAGAGGAAGGATGGGCCCAGGACTTTCCATTTTCAGAGCCTTCCCCCCCGCCCCGGGTGACTCAGATGCATATGGGCCAGTTTTTGATAAAACACTGCTTTGGTCTTTTTCGTAGACAACCCTTCCTCCTTTAATAGGTCTTTCATTCTCTCCTGCTTTAAGCTTTTTCAGTGTTGTCTTTTTTGTCTACTTCCTCTGGGTTCTGATCCTGTCCCCTGTCTCTACTCTTAACAGCATCCCTTCCCTTTTTCCCATCACTAGGACTATTTCTAGAAAGCCGTCAAATAATCTTTGTTTCAATTAATTACATCTGATTTATATAACTTGTGGTTCTTTGGAAGTCACATAATTCTCATGATGTGTGTTAACAGGGACGTCAAGAGATGTGCAAATAGGGCTGCCTGGGTGGCTCAGTCAGTTAAGCATCTGCCTTCACTCAGGTCATGATCTCAGGGTCCTGGGATCGAGCCCTGCGTCGGGCTCCCTGCTCAGTGGGGAGTCTGCTTCTCCCTCTGCCTGCCGTTCCCCTCCTGCTTGTGCTTGCTCTCACTCTCTCTCAAATAAAATCTTAAAAAAAAGAAAAAAGTGCAAATATTTCATGAATATAATCTCTGTCCCCATAGTGGTTCTTCTCCGCTTCCATGCCTCTGTGGTGTTTGATTATCTAACACAATGTAAAACACGTATTTGTTGTGATTAAATTTTGTTGTTAAATTTAGGGTCCCACCACCTGGAATGGAAACTCACATACCAGTTCTCTTCCTTGATCTGAACGGTAAGCAGATCCGTGTTCGAGGGGCCCTCGCATTTCATTTAGGTTTGTAATCTCTTCAGACCCACCTGATTTCTATTCCTTAAATTAAATGACTTTTCTAATCACTCATATGCTGTATCTAGGTGACATTTTTAGTCCAACCAAATGTATAAACCTTGACGTGTAGCATCACTGGAAGAGAGAAGTGGATATTTAGTCTTAAAAAGAGTTATGAGAGAGAACTCTCTCCCATAGAGTTACGAGAGAGATGTCATAACTCAAAAAATGTCACACAAAAAATGTCAAAACAGTTACAGTTGAGAGACATCAATGGACACAGGAATTACCTGAGAAAGTAATCACCCTCAGAGATTCTGAACCTTTAGGCTTTGCGGGGCCCTAGGAATCTGCATTTCTGATGAGTGCCATTTGCCCCCCACCCCTCATAGTGCCGATGCCAGAATATGATTATACTGTAAACCCTGCATTAAGGGTTGTTCTTTACTGTAGCAATTGGATTGAACCTGCGTGAACCAAGAATGATGGTCCTCAATGTATTTTAGCAGGAAAATCCATTTTCAGAATGAAATCTTAAAATGGAAGCCTGTATGTAGACTACAAAGGCAGAGTTGCCAAGTGGGGTGATAGGTAGGCTCAGGCAAGCTCTTCCGCACGCGGCCCCTGGAATCTCAAAACACAGCCTGGAAACCTGTCTTTTGGTGGGAGGGCTTGGGGAGGGTGACTTTGGCTCTTCCTAGGAAGAATTGTTTAAGATCCTGGAAGTAGGATGTGTGCCTCATGAGGTGGTGGGCTCCCTGTTATTGGAGGGATACGCACAATGGTTGGATGACCACGTATAGAAGTTTATGAAGGGTGAATCCCACATGGCTTAGGGCATTGGAAGAAGATGATCTTCGTATTTCTCCCAAGTGCTTGGAACTTTGATTCCAGATTGATCATTTAGCTGTTCAAATCTCTAATCATGTGTAAGTTGTATAAGTAGGATGCCAGCGTGACACCAGGTTACATGAGGATTTGACCTCAGAAAGCAGCAGAGTCTCAGCTGTGTTTTTGTAGAGAAAATCTCTGCTCCTAGGATTGCATATGGAATGTATTTGTCCCTTTTGTTAGAGACTCATGGGGTACGTTTTTGGCTCTCATAGTTATGTTTCTGGAAAGGATAAGACCTATTGTGAGGAATTAGCATCTCTATTCCACTGTGGGATAAGGAAGGAAAGAAAAAAATGAAAGTGCAAAAAGTCATCTGTGGAAAGCATCTTTAAAAATTTTCAGTGCCGAGGCGCCTGGGCGGCTCAGTTGGTGAAGCGTCTGCCTTCGGCTCTGGTCACGGTCCCGGGGTCCTGGGATCGAGCCCCGCGTCGGGCTCCTGGCTCCACGGGAAGCCTGCTTCTCCCTCTCCCACTCCCCCAGCTTGTGTTCCCTCTCTCGCTCTCTCTGTCAAATGAATAAATAAAATCTTTAAAAAATAATAATAATAAAATTAAAAGAATAAAAATTTTCAGTGCTTGCTTAAAAAGTGACTTCCCTCCACTTCTGTTTCTGTGCCCTGGACGTGGTCAGCCGATGACCTCAGTGCCAACGAGCAGCTCGTGGGCCCGCACGCGTCGGGCGTGAACTCCATCCTGCCCAAGGAGCACGGCAGCCAGTTTTTCTACCTGCCCATCATAAAGCACAGTGATGAGGAGGTAATTGACCCCTGCGGTTCTCTTCCTGGGCTTCAGGCGAGTGCACCTGCCTACAGGCCTGTCTTCCCGTTAAACTGCTGTGGTCTGCTTTGGGGGAGAGGACTGGGGGTTTTAAAAAGTTGAATGTGTGTTGTCACTCAGAAGTGAGGACAAACATGTATGATTCAGTGGGGTTGCGTTTCTCTTCTCGCTCTCATGTGTGATGTCGAACCTCAGCCCCTGAGCTGGGTCTTTTCCATGTCCCCAACCCTTCTCCTCTTCTTAGGTTTCAGCCACAGCCTCTTGGGACTCCTCAGTGCATGATTCCGTTCACCTGAATAGGGTCACGCCCCAGAACGAAAGGATTTACCTGATAGTGAAAACCACGGTCCAGCTCAGCCACCCGGCTGCTATGGAGTTAGTATTGCGAAAACGGATTGCAGCCAATATTTACAACAAACAGGTAGTAACAGGGCCTGATTCTGCTGTTGCCTACATGAGCTCAAAGTTTCTTTCTTCCCTCTATCATAAAGTCGTGTTTTGTGGTGCTGATACAATGGACGTGCACGTTGTCACCACACTAGCCAAGTTACAGCCTTATTGACCCCAGATAACGGGGCATGAGGACAGCACAGGTGGATGTCACCCACCAAAGGACATTCCCCCTTGGCCGGTTTGAGACCCATAATCCTAAGAGGCAGTGGAGCTATGACATGTCACTGTTTGAAAAAGGCTCAGTGCCAAGTCCAAGCAGGTTAGTGACAAAACAGGACAAGGGGCAGGCCCAAAATAAATCCTTGCTGCTTTCCAGATCTCATCCCACAGGTATTGCCAACCAAATGGATCCTCTCCAGTTTTCTTCTATACGAGGATTGATTAAACCCTATCAAGATCATGGGGCGCCTGGGTGGTGCAGGCAGTTGAGCGTCCAACTCTGCTTGAGATTCTCTCTCCTCCTGTCCCTCCTGCTTGTGCGCTCTCTCTCTAAAATAAATAGGTGGCTCAGTCGTTAAGCGTCTGCCTTCGGCTTAGGTCATGGTCCCAGGGTCCTGGGATTGAGTCCCGCATCGGGCTCCCTGCTCCTCAGACAGTCTGCTTCTCCCTCTCCTGCCCCTCCCCACCACTAGTGCCTTCTTTCTCTCTCTTCCTCTCTCAAATAAATAAATAAAATCTTTTTTTAATTTAATTTAATTTTATTATGTTAGTCACCATACAATACATCATTAGTTTTTGATGTAGTGATCCACGATTCATTTTTTTCGTGTAACACCCAGTGCTCCATGCAGTACATGCCCTCCTTAATACCCATCACCGGGCTGACCCATCCCTCCTACACCCTCCCCTCTAGAACCCTCAGTTTGTTTCTTGGAGTCCATAGTCTCAACAAAACAAAGAGGCAACCCACAGAATGGGAGAAGATATTTGCAAATGACACTACAGACAAAGCGCTGATTTCCAAGATCTATAAAGAACTTCTCAAACTCAACACCCAAAAAACAAATAATCAAGTCAAAAAATGGGCAGAACATGAACAGACATTTCTCCAAAGAAGACATACAAATGGCCAACAGACACATGAAAAAATGTTCATCATCATTAGCCATCAGGGAAATTCAAATCAAAACCACATTCAGATACCACCTTACACCATTTAGAATGGCAAAAACTGACAGGGCAAGAAATAAAAGCTTTTTAAAAAAAAAATCTTTAAAATAAATAAATAAATAACCCTATCAAGATCAAAAGGAAGGCTGCCAATGAGAAAGAAGCACAACCCCCAAAATCCCTGAATGGACTACAAATTCTATAATCCCCAAATGAAGGACACTGTTGTACTTCAGGGTCAGAGACAAGGATTTTTCAGTTCCATTTTTCTGAGTTGTTGTATGTGTATCAAAAACATAGTACTTGATAATGCTTCTGCAGTTTGTAAAATGCCAAATAACTTACATATTTCACATCGCTTAATTCAGCTTTCCTTTCCTACCAGAGCTTCACCCAGAGTCTGAAGAGGAGAATATCATTGAAGAATATATTTTATTCCTGTGGTGTAACCTATGAAATAGTATCCAATATACCAAAGGTAAATACACATACTACTTTTTAAAAATATCGAAATTGAAGTGTTAGAGAATGTGTTGATTCTTAGAACTTCTAAATCATTTTCTCACCACAGTTTAGATAAAAATATTGTTCACATGAAAGTTTTGTAATTAAAAGAAAAAAAGAAAGTTAATTGTCTTCTTGTCCCTTCAGGCAACAGAGGAGATTGAGGACCGGGAAACACTGGCTCTCATGGCAGCAAGGAGTGAAAATGAAGGCACTTCAGATGGGGAGACCTACATAGAGAAATACACGCGTGGCGTGCTGCAGGTGGAGAACATTCTGAGCCTTGAACGGCTCCGGCAGGCAAGTAGAAGCAGTGTCCGGACCAGAGGGCGAGAGCACTAGCCTCCCCCCAACCAAGTGGACAAAGACGAATTTATTTACCAAACACCATCCCTCTGCATCTATCAGAGAAGGAAAACTTGAGTAGCAATCTCTTTGGACAAAGTAGCAAAAATGAAAATAATGTCTGCATTCTATTCACTACCTTCTACTTAAGCACTGTGCCCAAGTAATTTAGATACATTCTTTCATTTAATCTTCAAGATGGCCCTGCTAGGGAAATAGACACTGTCAGAATCCCCTTTTCTTTTCTTTTCTTTTTTTTTTTTTTTAAAGATTTATTTATTTGAGAGAGAGAGCACAAGAGAGGGGAGGGTCAGAGGGAGAAGCAGAGTCCCTGCCGAGCAGGGAGCCTGATGTGGGACTAGATCCCGGGACTCCAGGATCATGACCTGAGCTGAAGGCAGTCACTTAATCAACTGAGCCGCCCAGGTGCCCCAGAATCCCCTTTTCTAAGTGAGAAAATTGAGGCCCGCAGAAGTTAGCTAGCCTGCCCAAGGCTACACCGCTAAGTTGGTACAAAGTTGGTTGTAAACCAGGAAGGCTTGACTCCAGAGTCCATGTGCTTAGCCACATGCTGTTACTATTTCCCTAATTTGGGGGTCTAGGTTAACTTCTGCAACAATAGCAGGACATTCACGTGAAACTAACCCACTAGGCAGTGGAAGTCTGAGACAGGAATTGTCATCCACAGAAGCAGCAGTTGAAGTTCATGGAAAGTGCATTGTGAGCCACAAGAGGACTAATAAGATTGGCATCTGTCAGAAAAATCTGCCTTTAGTGGAAATCCCCCCAAAATTGCTGCGTGAATAAAACACAAACAGCATAAAAGTTGATGGTCGTTTTGCAAATGAGATCTGTCGTTAGGGGTATTTCTTCTCCGTTTTCTCTGTCTGCCTCTGTAAAAAATCTACCACATAAATGTCTTCAGTTCAGCAGTTGTCCTGGTTTTATGTATGGAAAGCATTTTTGGTAGATTAAGGAAAGAGAAATTAGGGGGGACCATAAGAGTCCAGCCTTTGTAACTATGGGAGGGAGTGGGGCATTGAAATGATGTGTCTTTCTATTATTTTCTAAACCTTCCACAACAAACCTATATTATTTGTCATCAGAGGGGGAGAAACAAATGTTACCTTGACCTTTGCAGGCGGTCACGGTCAAAGAAGCTCTGTCCACCAAAGCTCGGCACCTGAGGAGGAGTCTCAGCACACCAAACGTTCATAATGTGAGCACCCCTGCGGCGGGTCTGTTGCTTCGGTGACATGTCTCAGGGTTTGGGAGGGGCATGTGGGTCCTGGCGTGGGCATCCCGTACAGCCAAGCCTCTCCGCTCTCCCAGGGAAACACACCGGGGAGTGCAGTTAGAATCCCATGCCCGCGCCTTTAGTGGAATCTTTCGGATTTCTCTTCAGAAAGTTAGGTCCTTGAAAGGCGTCTCTTGAGACCTAAATTGAATGTAGTTGGTTTAAGGGTGGTAGCTATAGCACCTGGAGGGTGCTGCTCTGTCCTCGTCGCCCAGGTGGATTTTCCTGTGCTGCCCATCAGTGTGGTAGGGCGCTGGGTACCTCCGTGTCCACGCTCCCCTGGTCTGTGGTCTCTCCATTGACCATTCGATTCTCATTCTTAACCAGTTCATCTAGAAAATCCAATTGACAGGAACTGCTTAGTGGAGGGGACACGGTCACGGAACAAACTAGTGCACGGACAATTTCAAAGCAGTCTCTTCTCCAGAAGCAGCAGCATAAAAGATCCTCCCAAGGAAGGGCACAGTATCATTACCTTGCTCCTCTCCAGAATTGCCAGGAAATGATTAAAAACATGGTGAACATGTATAAAAGTTGTTTTAGAGCAGGCTACAGAGCCGATCCCAGCACATCCCTATAGTGGTGTACATACAGGTTACTTCTGACCACAGTGCGATTATTTAGAAACTGATAATAAGAGACTCATACAGTGTAAATTGAAAAATAGAAACTGGTACACACATCAGTGCTTGTGGGATGCCGGTGAAGTACTTAGAGGGAAACTAGGCTCTGAGTTCCCTATTTTTCTGTTTCTACCACTGAATACTAGACAATAGAGAAAAATGAAAGAACAAGAGCGACTCTTAGGGATGTGTGGCTCTTGTATTAAAAAGAAGAGTAAAAAACATGGAGGGAAACATCTGTGCTAAAAGGTAAAGACAGATTCTAAAGGAGTATTCTCTCTCCACCCTTAGCCCCCTAGAAAATGAACCTACATCTGATCAAGACTCTGAATCTGACTGCTGATATTTACGGGGGACAAAAGAGAATGTTAAGTGACACCAAAGGGACTCCATTAGCAAAGGGAAACTTTATAGGAACAAATGATGTAGAAAAAGGAAAACCTGTGAACTATTGTGATCCTGATTCAGAATTAACAGACAATGTGTCTGAGACATTTGAACACTGGGCGATATCGGTTACTATCTAGGAATTATTTAATTTTTTACAATGTGATAATGATATTCTACTTTTGTTTTTGTTTTAAGATTTTATTTTTTTAAGTAATCTCTACATCCAACATGGGGCTTGAACTCATGAGTCAAGAGTCGCCCGCTCCTCCAACTGAGCCAGGCAGGACCCCTATGGTTATGGTTTTTTTTGTTGTTTTGTTTTTTTGTTTTTTCCACTGGGTTTTTTTTTTTTTTAAAGATTTTATTTATTTATTTGAGAGAGAGAGAATGAGAGATAGAGAGCACAAGAGGGAAGAGGGTCAGAGGGAGAAGCAGACTCCCCGCTGAGCAGGGAGCCCGATGCGGGACTCGATCCCGGGAGTCCAGGATCATGACCTGAGCCGAAGGCAGTCGCTTAACCAACTGAGCCACCCAGGCGCCCTGGTTATGGTTTTTTTAAAGGGAGGAGGAATAATGTATTTTTTAGAGATTCACAGAGAAGTATTTATGGATAAAAGATTTTTAAATAAAAAAAACAAAATCAATAAAAAAATTTCAAGGTAATAATACTAGAGCAGAATTATAATAAATTCAAAGAAGGTGTATGAAGATTAGAACAGAGATGTATGAAATAGAAAACCAACAATAGAATCAACAAAGCTGAAAAGTGGGCTTTTTGAAAAGACTGGTCAAATAGAGTGACTTCTAGTTAAGATTAATTGGGGAAGGAGAGAAAATATTGGGATATTAATTCCAATATTATTGACAATAAAAAGGGACATATCACTACAGAGAGGACAAAGATTTAGACAGCGTAAGAGCAAACTATGAATAATGTTATAGCAGTAAATGTAAAACAAGCTTCAACAAAATGGAATTTTCTTACTACAAAAACCAAATCTGAATACAGCTATCACCATAAATAAAGCCTAAACTCACAGAAAGGGAGACTGTGCTCATTGATGGGAACACACAGTATCCAAAAAATGGGCACATCTCCTTAAACTAATCTATAATAAATTCCCAACATAATTTCTTGTAGGATTTCATAAACTAACCCCAGAATTGCTATGGAAGAGCAGAGTTGAAGGTGCATATGCATTATCTACAGCCCAGAGATTCCAGGCCTTCACATACCCTCTAGAGCTCCTAATAGAAACGCAGGAGGAGGCTCCTGGCTGGCTGACTCAGTCAGTAGAGCATGCGATCCTCAGTCTTGGGGTGGTGAGTTCGAGCCCCATGTGGGATGTAGAGATTACTTAAATTAATACATAAATAAACTTAGAATAAAAAACATAGGATGGATTTAGAACTAAATAATGTTGAAATGGTATACATGTCAATCATTGTGGGATACAGCTAGAGTGGTACGGAGGGACAATAATAATAATTTATTTTATCAGAGTTTGTAATAGAGAAAAATTAGAAGCAGCTTAGATACCATCTAGAATAGAACAAATAAATTCTGAAACTAATGAAAAAGACCATGTATGGTGAGATACCACTTACTTTAATTATAAAAATACACGAAATATATATTACATGTGTATATACATTATATATATTTATATATAGTATGTGCATGTATTTTTATATATAAACCAATTTTATGAATATAAGAACTATACAAAGCCTGTATGGAAATAATCAACCCCAAATTTAGTGTGGTTGTTATTCCTGAGGATTGTAGAAAGAAGAGGGAGTTGAGACTATCATACAGGCTTCAACTGTAAGTGTGACATTACATTTCTGTATTTCTGTGTAATTTATGTTAAGTACATAAGCCACATTGATAAAACCATGGCTCTCTTACAGGTCTCCTCCAGTCGACCAGACCTTTCTGGCTTTGATGAAGATGATAAGGTGTGCACCTGTGGTGTGGGCATGGCTAGGTTACTAGCAGAGTCGAAGCCTGAAAAGTTAGGGTATCTTGGTGTTTTTAAAATCTCAGGACTTCCCATCTTAATCTTATGCTGATCATTGTCTCCACGAGTCCATTTCCAGGCTCAAATACTTGATGTGAAATTGCTATGCACTCAGTGTTAACATTGTACCTAGCATATTTTCCATACCAGCATGGTACTACACTGAATTGAACATCTGTGTGTTTATGGGTCTAACTCAATGATTTAAGAATGTATTGTATCAACTGAGGGTTGCTGGAGGGGAGGGGGATGGGGGATGGGGGTAACTGAGTGATGGACATTAAGGAGGGTATGTGTTGTAATGAGCACTCGGTGTTATATAAGACTGATGAATCACAAACCTGTTCCTCTGAAACCAATAACACGTTATATGTGAATTTAATAAAAACAAACAAAAAAGGAAAAAAAGTATATTTACCATCACAAAATCAAAATTAATTCAACTAGGCAAATTAGGTATTTAAAATTAAGGGTATTTTGCAACATGACCTTTCTCAGCAAATATTGCTTGGAGCATATATTATATTTATGTTATTATGTGAGGGACTGAGTGATTCAAAGAGTAGAAACATGGATTATGTCATCAAGAAGGTTAAAATCTAGTCTTTTAGGCAGCCAACTCCTGAGAAGTTGCTTAAGATTAAATAAGCTTATATGATACACAAATGGAATTTTCTTTCCTTAGTGTACCAATATCTTATGCCAGTTTGATCCTTTTAAATCCCAGGTCTGGTTTGCCTGGGGCAGTCCTAGCGTATGCCTGCTACCCAGGCGAAATTATTAATGGAACCCATTCACTCCAAAAAGCGTTTCACTGTGGTCTCTAAATTATGCAGTCACCCTAGATACATACCAGATTTATCAAGGTGGCTCCCTTTGCAGGGGAGGGAGGAAAATGGATGGGACCTTCGGGATTCAGGGGATTTCACTCCATTTGTTATGGTTTTATTAAATCTTGGACAAATATGATAGGATTATTAACATTAAAACTCTAGCTCTACCCTGGGTATGACAGTATTGGTCATATTATTCAGCCATTCATACTTTTCTGTATGTTTGAAATACTTTATAATAAAAATAAAGAAGAGCACGTACTGCCATTAAAAAATAGGAAAAAACTCAAATCTGGGCTTCACTTCTCATTTTAAAGGGACTGAATTACAGCTAACCCGTATCTTTCCCTTGTAGGGTTGGCTAGAGAACCAATTAGACATGTCTGACTATTGCTCCAGTTACCAGGATATAGCCTGTTACGGAACTTTACCCAGGGATTCGCCTCGAAGGAGTAAAGAAAGTAGTGGTGAGATTGTTTTTCTGCATTCTTTCTTTATAATTTCTTAGGAAAAGCATCGGGGGTGGGGGGAGTTCTTTTGTAGGTGGCATTTAATAAGATAGGAACCTGAAATTCTAACGTGCTGGATGATTCTAAACTGTCTTCTTGAAGAGAACATGTCATTTCCACTTACTTGATTTCTTTTTGCTTTTGGATCCGGTATATCATCCAGATAATAATAATAGGCTTTTTGTGTAGCACTTCAGAATTTTCAAATCATTTTTCCCACATCATTTCCTGAATTTGAAGTCCCTTTTGAGACACAAACAAATCTTATTATGTTGTGGTTAGACTTCATTTTTTACCAAAAGAGTATCTACCTATGTAATGCTTTTTTGTACTCAAAAGAGTTTTTACGAGAATTTTTCGATTCCTAAAGCAGTTTCAAAAATGGTACCAGAAATGAGTTTGATCAGCGACAGCATTATTACCTAACTGTATAATCTCCCAGTGCCCTGAGAGGAATAGCATTCTTTGAAAATGTGAATCAGTTCTGTTACCTTACACCGTATATTTTGCCTACTAAATGACATTGTAGCAGTGAATTGGGAAGAAAATGCAGAAGGAGGGAAAGAGGCTCCCCAAAAGTAAGAAATGAGTCAGAGCAGGAAAGCAGAATTGTTCTTCCTTAGTCATATGGAGAAAGTGGCCTGAGCAAAAACAGGACTTGCAAAAAAATGTATACAGTATCCATTCCTTGAATATTTATTGAGCCTCTACTTGCTATAGGCAGTGAAAGATACAGTAAGGTGCCATTCTAGATCCTGAAATCGAACTGTGGAATGAGATACATAGAAAATAAGATATTGCAATGAAAATGCGCCTAAATGCACGGAAGGCTAATAGACTCTGGAATTTCAGAGTAACGGAAAATCAGCATGAGTTGAAATCGGTCTAGTAGGCAGCGCTTCAGGGGGATCTTGAAAAGAAGGTGGAAAATTCGGTTTCTGCTTTCTTCGATGCTGACTCTTTGGGACTTGGTAGCTACATCTCCACTCTTGCCCACACTGGTTTTAGTCTTTAGCCAAATATTAGCCTGGTAATTTCTTTGTCGAACCAGATATTCCCGTGGCTAGGTGATGACCGTGCTTCCAGTGTGCCCGTCAATCCGTGCCTGTTTGTCTTCCCCAGGTTGTCCATCAGAGAACCCCCACGCCTTAACAGTCAGTCCTTTTAAAGCATTCTCTCCCCAGCCACCAAAGTTTTTCAAACCCTTAATGCCTGTAAAGGAGGAACATAAGAAAAGGATAGCCCTTGAAGCAAGGCCACTCCTCAGCCAGGAGGTAAGTGCTGCACGTCTCTACCGTGGAAAGTAGAGCAGAATTGTGTTGCGTGGGGGGCAGTAACCGTGCCTGTGGACGTGTGTGGGGCACATGGGGTCATGGCGGGATTTCTTGCGTGGTGCTCTTGATGTTCCTTTCTGTGCGTTTACGGCTCTTCCAAGTGAGAAGGAGCCGTTCCTTGAGTGTTTGGAAAACATGACAGGCTCTATTTATTTATTTGTTTACTTATTTTTACGTTGATAAAACCAAGGATGCGATTTGCCGTGGGGTGTGTGTAGTGTCGTCGGAGTCCATCGGTGGTTTAACCGCAGCCTGCCAGGTTGCACTCCTCACACGGGATTAGAAGTGTCCGCGTTGCTTTTCTAACTGGCACGTACTTACTGTGTATTTCGGCTGTCGGCGTCTTCTGTATGTGATGCATCTGTGTGTCTTAACCTTTGCAGAGCATGCCTTCACCTCAGGCACATAACCCGGGCTGCACTGTGCCCTCCGGACGCGAGGGCGGCAGCGTGCCAGTAGAGCACAATAGCAAGCACGAGAAGAAGATTGTAAGTTCTGGAACTATTTCTGTCGTCTTGCCTGGTGGTGGGTTTAAGGCCCCTTCACAGACGATCATCCAAATCCTGTAGGAGACCTGAAGAGAATGTACTGGGTCTTTTTGCTTTGCTTTTTTTTTTTTAATGTGATCACCGGTAATGAAATCTTGCATGAATGTGGCCATGACCTGTGGTTTTTTTCTAAGTGTTCATTCGGTTTTATTTATCTTTTTGCTCAGTAGCAACTTGCTTAGAAAAGGGGGAAAGGGCACTCTTAACAGGTTCTGGTCTTTAAAAAGTGTAACCATGAAATCACCGTCACTGATTGTGAATCTTTCTAATGTGCCGATGCATATTGCCCAGATTCTGAAGTTAATCTACCTAGAGGAGTTGCACTTACTTGGAGTGAGTAATCATGCACTTAGCCGTGGGTGTGTTTGAAAGCTCCTTCCGCGTTGCCTGATGCCCTTGCCCAGCTTATTCTGTAGCTTGTAGCCCCGCTACGAGCCCTCGGTGCCCCTGCCGCCCGCTCGGCATCTCAGGTAGCCCATTCTCGTTTGCTGGCAAAATAGGTCCCCAGCCCGCTGGTGTCGGTCTTGCTTTGGGGACGACTTATCTGTACTTCATCCACAGGTAGGTGGAAACTTTGCCTGTAGAACAGTCAGTCCCCAGCGCTTGGTTTTCAAATTATAGATTTGAATGTAGTTTTTAAGACGCCGTATACCAGGCACTTCGGATTATCAGTGATACCTCAGTTAAAAAAAAAAACACACAACCAACAAACCATATTCTCGGGCCTAGAAAGAGTTGTCTTATTTTGTGTCTCAGCTTTCACTTTCCTGTGGCTTCCTGGGCTTTGAAACAGTGAAGCAGCTCCGAGCGAGACGGAGCTGCTTGATGTTCACGTCTGTGCGCGGTCTGATCTGTGGGCGGCGCACGGGACACTTCCTCGCCCGGTCGCAGCATGGCTGACCCAGTCCAAGGACTCATTGGTGTGAGGTCCTCTAGCGGCTCTAAAACGCGCTGCTGTTGCACACTTTGTGATCCTAACCAGAAGTTAACCTGGAGATGCAGTCAGCCACCCATCTGCATGCGTGGAATGCTAGCGGATCATCAGAAATGACCTTCTCATTACTCCTGTCCACTGAGGACAGAAGAAAAGACACCATTTCCCCTGCACCTCTGTCCCTCTCCCCATCATCGCCTCTGTGTTCTCCTGGCCCCTCTGTCCCAAGTCCCCATCGTCGTTCCTACTGCAGAACATGGTGAACGTCAACAGCTGCCCCTGTATCTCTGGATCCTAATGAACTGCTCAGTCACTTACTTGACCTCCCCCCGCTTAGTTAATAAAGCTGCGGCATGGGCTAAAAAAGGCCAAGTGGCCAGTTCGTTATCCCTTCAAACTCTCTGGCTCTCTGGCTGATTGGATCTGTCTGTTGGTTGACGTGGAACTTGCCACCATGTTGCATGGCTACTAAATTTAAACCTCTGTTACTGATCATTTTGGTAGAACATCCTATTGAGAGACTGCTGGATGATCCTTCTGGGTCTGCCCAGCACATGACTTCACTGTTGACAGAGTTTGCCTCATCGTTTACTTTCCTTGTAATGTTTTTAGATAAAACCCATCTCAGGACTTTCAGCTAGCAGAGGGTAGGATGGAACCAGCTTCTCATAACTCAGCAACTCTTAAGCAGTGGTTAGGCTCTGTGTGATCAGACACACCTCGAGGTCTGCTGAGCAGGGTTTGATGGTATCTTCCGTGCTGGAATCTTGAGAGATCTGCCTCTACTCTCCTTAGAAATCTGGCTCAAAACAACAACAACAACAACAAAATTTAAAAAAAAAATGAGAAAGAAGGGTGCTTGGCTGGCTCAGTCAGAAGAACATGTGACTCTTGATCTCTGGGTCGTTGAGTTCCAGCCCCAAGTTGGGTGTAGAAATTGCTTAAATAAATAAAACCTAAAAAAAATTTTTTTTAAATAAGAGAAAGATACCTGTCTCAATACTCTTCATCTTTGAAACTGTTGAACTGTTTGATTTATTTCAGATAGCAGCTTTTCCAGGATGTTTTGGTAGATTTTAACAGTCTTAATTGCTTGCTCTGAGGTTCTGGTTCTCTTCGGGAAGCTTTCATTTTATTTCTCCTCTTATAAATGGACATAAACTGCTTTATTACTTTGTTCCCCATTCACTCTCCTTCCTTTTCCATTCTTGAAAAATCAGAGTGTGAATAAGTGGTTTGGTCTGATCAAAGGAGGTTGAAATCATTTTTCAGAGTTTCACATAAAATAGAGTATTATGTAGCTACCCTTGATTCTTAAAGCAGGGTCTGCTGTCTCATCAGTTTGGGAAGACATACAAATGTACTGCATGTCTTGTTTGAATAAGATAAAGACAACAATATGCCTTTGGAGTCCATCTTTTTTTTAAGTCATGAAGCAGAAGAGTGTAAAGGAAATCACTTCTCCCTTGGGTCTTGCATAGACAGCATATGGTTTATTTCTCCATTTTGCAGAAGAAACAAAGGACTTGATGAGTGGCTTGCCTCAGGGTCTCACAGTTAATGAGAGCATAAGAACAAAGACCCCATCCCTCAGCAGAATTGGGCTGACCCCAGTGACTCCAGGTGCTCTCCAAAATAGTGCAGTTTCGATTGCCCTGGTACTGTTGTTTCTAGAAAGGGCTGCCAGCATCTTAGTACCACGGACAGAAGTTTGGGGGCCTTAGGTTGATACAGTCCTTCCAAAAAGAGACCATCTTCCTGCGGGACAACACAGACCCCATCCCAGTGGAAGTGAAAATGACTTCAATTAAGTGAAACTCCTTGCCAGGGAGTCACTGCTTTCATGGGGGTTTTGATCCCTTTTTAAAATCAAGCTGTTTTGTCTGTAGGTAAATACCAGTTGCATAAACTTAATTGCAAAAACCAAATCATGAAGACGGTAGCTATAGAGGGGCTTGAGAACTTGACTCCATGCTTCACTTTTTAGGTAGGGTTTTAATTCTTTGTGTCATTAAGACATAGGGCGCCTGGGTGGCTCAGTTGGTTAAGCGGCTGCCTTCGGCTCAGATCATGATCCTGGAGTTCCAGGATCGAGTCCCGCATCGGGCTCCCTGCTCGGCGGGGAGTCTGCTTCTCCCTCTGACCCTCCTCCCTCTCATGCTCTCTGTCTCTCATTCTCTCCCTCTCAAATAAATAAATAAAATCTTAAAAAAAAAAAAAAAAGACATAGTAGGAAGGTGCTAAGTTTAGTCTCCTTTCAGATACAATGATAAATATTTCTGGAGTAAAAGGTCTATCTAACCAGATTCCTTTAAGGTACAGTTTGAACCAATTAAGTGCTCTCTTTTTCCCCTTGAAGGCAATAACTTGATAAACCTTCAGTCTCTTTACCTGTTGGGAAACGTTTCATCTCTCCTCAGTTTTCTTTTTTCTGGAATTACTTGTCCCTACTCCGCTAGCCTCTCTGTTTGGGTCATTCACCTTCTCCCATTCCCATCCCAGGTGTACAACTATGTACTGATCCCTATTGGAACTTAATCTCTCGGGGGTTTTGTAGACTCTTCAGTTTTTCCTAAGCTCCTTCTAATCCTTTAGGAATAATTTTTTATCTTCATGAGTGCAACAAATGTGCATGCACCTGTTTCTGCACAATAAATTCATGGTTGAATATTTCATTCAGCAAAGTTGTATTTTAGGATGACAGGCCTTTCCTCAGTCTTCAGAAGAAATAACTCCAGGCATAAAAGGAGCCCCAGATTACTAATTCTCACATTCAGTTTTGTTTTTTCTTGCACCAACTAACTTTTCAGTAATTAACTGCATCAAAGACTCCTGGGCTTGGGGAATTATATTTCTTTGCCAGCTTAAATCAGAAGGAAATATGGGGGCGGGGGGCACCTGGCTGGCTCAGTCGGGAGAGCATGCAACTCTGACTCTTGATCTCAGGTGGTGAGTTCGAGCCCCATGTTGGGCATGGAGCCTACTTGAAAAAAAAAAAAAGGAAATATAAAGATGCAAACACTAGAAGTTCAATTTTGAGTCTAAACCCGTCAAGTAGAGAACGTAGAAAATACAGGCAAAAACTAGTGATTGAATTCTGTCCAATCTTTGCTCCTTTCCAAACATTCTCCCCATCCCCTCTTTTGACAGTGCTACCTAATGTGGAATGTAGCTAAAAATAAGATGGCAAGATTAGTGTTGCCAAAATTTTGTTTTGCTAATTTCTGGAATTTTTTATCACTGATATTTGATAGTCACCTTTGATTAATAGCCATGGAATTAAGACACCTGATGCTTTTATGTAATGTATATTTAAGTTATTTTAAAAACTAAGGAGCACTGAAGAGCATTAAGGTATTGATTTAGGTAGTTAGCATCTTATGCAAAAGAAATTATTACTGTAGGGGTGCCTATAATATATTTATAATATTATAAATAATAAATTATTACTATAAAATGCAGCAGATGAAATTGATGTTCATTTGTGAACTGCCATCTGACACACCCTTCGCTCATGCTCTGCTTCCTCTTTCCCATCCTCTCTCCTCGACCTCTTGAAATTATCCTTTAATGAGTAAGGTTAATGTTTTGGTTGCAGGTTTCACAGTCTCCCAGTTATTATACTGAATGAAATTTCCATCCACCAGGGCGCTTAGGTGGCTCAGTCATTAAGCGTCTGCCTTTGGCTCAGGTCATGGTCCCAGGGTCCTCGGATCGAGCCCCGCATCGGGCTTCCTGCTCAGCGGGAAGCCTGCTTCTCCCTCTCCCACTCCCCCTGCTTGTGTTCCCTCTCTCGCTGTGTCTCTCCCTGTCAAATAAATAAATAAAATCTTTGAAAAAAAAAAAAAATTTCCATCCACTGAATCAGGGTCCAGGATTGTTCTAAGAGCAAGGACCCAAAGCCATAACACCATGAGGGCAGGGACCGTGCCTGTTTTTGCTCAACACTGGTATTCCCAGTTCTTAGGACAATGGCTGGCATATAGTGGATGCCTGATGAATACTCGTTGAAAGTCTGTTGTAAGAGGAAAGGAATATTTGCAATGTCATTAGATGTTTATGAGAGTAATTAAAATGCTAGATAGTAATTTTTTTTTTTCAAGTAAGCTCTACATCCAGTGTGGGGCTCGAACTCACAACCCCAAGATCAAAAGCCACATGCTCTACTGACTGAGCCAGCCAGGCGTCATTTATCATTTATTTTTATTTGAACATAAAACATCCACATGCTTTATACTGTTTTCCACCAAATACAGAAGAATCATCCATTCAGGGACAGACTGGGGTGTTGAGAATATCCACTTCAGCATATTTACTAGTCTTTACAAACAGAATTCTAAAGCTCTTTGACAAAGGAGATTTTCAGTGACGTCTCAGTACCTTCCTCACCTCTGGCCAAATCCTCTAACGATGCTTCTCCAAACCCCTAGAAAGTGTTAACTTTAAGACGGTTAGTATTTTACAGCCCTACGATGTTTAATACAACATTGGGAACGGGTGTTGAAATTGTGTTCTTTGCTTTTTTCACTGTTGAGGTCTTGATTTTACTGCCCTCTCCCCCCCATAAAATAGCTCAGAAACCTACAAAGTACCTTCCTCACCTGCACTTGGCTTCCCAAAGTGAGGATTGTAAGGACAAATGAAGCAACAGCTTTTCTCTGCCTCCAGCTGCCCCTCTCCTCATCTGATTCCAAAAGGGAAAACATCACAACTGAACACTAATCATTAATTAAAACTAATTAAAAGTCTGCACTTAAACCAGTGAAGGAAGCATTTCCAATTAGCACTGAGTGAGCACAGAAGAAATAAATCTCCTCCATATTAGGTGATAATGGGTTTATGCTCACAGATCTCTGAGAATAACGTATGCACCGTAGGTGACAAGATTTAACCAAACTCAGAAAGAAAGAAAGAAAGAGAGAGAGAAAGAAAGAAAGAAAAACCCACTAAACATGTGAATGTGAAAGCCTTTAATATGAATATATTTGAAACCTGTCTCGACAATAAAGTCGCTGAAAGGAGCTAATGAGTGACTTTTCCTTCATTACTACAGGACTCTGAGGAGGAGGAAAATGATCTGGAAGCTCTTAACAGGAAGCTGATAAGTTCACAGCCTTACGTACCTGTGGAGTTTGCGGACTTCAGTGTTTACAATGCCAGCTTGGAGAACAGGGAGTGGTTTTCTTCTAAAGTCGATTTGATGAACTCAAGGGTCTTGGAGAAAGAAGTGTCCCGTAGCCCCACCACCAGCAGTATTACCAGCGGCTACTTTTCCCACAGTGCCTCCAATGCCACGCTGTCTGACATGGCGGTCCCTTCCAGTGACAGCTCAGACCAGCTAGCCATGCAGACAAAGGATACAGACTCCAGTGAGCATTATGGACCGTCACTTGTGCACGATTTCAGACCGTCCTCAAACAAAGAGTTGACAGAACTAGAAAGAGGCATGGGGAAAGAGAAGATAATTTTGGTGCCCCTCAAGGAAAACAGTGCCTTAGCCAAAGGGAGCCCATCGCCCCAAAACATCCCTGAGAAAAACCCCCAAATCCTCTGTAGGACTGGCTCCTGTTCCGAACACGATGCCTGCTCCAGCAGAAATGGCCAGCCAGCCAGAGAATTTTACCCCGGGGAAGTGACCATAGAACACACCACAAATATCCTTGAGGACCATTCTTTCACAGAGTTTATGGGTGTATCCGATGGGAAAGATTTTGACGGTTTGACAGACTCTTCTGCTGGAGAGCTTTCGAGTAGAAGAAATCTGCCAAGTAAAACGGACCAGAAGAGTATCGCTGACGGGCCACAGGGCCCTGCGCAGCTGCATTCCTCGGTTGAGAGTGACGAGGTAATAAATTCCCAAGGCTGTCCTGTGTGTTCTGTCCTGCTGGTGAGCCTGCCTGGTTGTGCACCAACCCCCAGAGGCGCTTCACCTCGTGACTTAGTAGGAGAGGTTCCCTGAGATGCTGCTGACTGGGAGCATGGGCCCCCCGGGGAGCAGGCTCGCTCACACCGCTGCCCGGCTGGCTCCGTCAGAGTGGAACTACAGAATATATAGGACCGGTGGCATTTCTTACTGGCCTGTGGGTTGATGCCAAATAAGGATCATTCAATCCCATATGCATTCCTGGAGATGTTTCATTACTGGTTATCCCAAGGCGTTCAGACAGCATCCATCATATTTTATCAAATCTGTAATTTCCATAATTGTTAGAGAAACCATTGGTTTACGTATCATTACAAAAAAAATACTTCCAGGGGGCGCCTGGGTGGCTCAGTTGGTTAAGCGACTGCCTTCGGCTCAGGTCATGATCCTGGAGTCCCAGGATCGAGTCCCACATCAGGCTCCCTGCTCGGCGGGGAGTCGGCTTTCTCCCTCTGACCCTCTTCCCTCTCGTGCTGTCTATCTCTCATTCTCTCTCTCTCAAATAAATAAATAAAATCTTAAAAAAAACAAAAACAAAAAAATACTTCCAGTTAAACTGCCTCACATCAGTAATTGTCAGATGCATCCCAATTTCAGGCACCTTTAAAAGGGGTATGGGTGAGGGGAGGGAGGCACGCATCGCAGAATGGATTAAAAAAACAAGTCATTTGGTGCCCAGAGCAGTTGAAGTTTGGGCTTTGGAAGTTAGCGGGTTGGTTTATTAGACTGTTTCCTTTTATAGTTTCATAGTTTAATTTTTTAGTGTAATTCCTAAACTAATGGAACAAAATGGGTGTTTGCTCACAGTACTGAGGAGAAGAGCAAATGATATCAATAAGAGATTGTCCGCTTCTGTGGTCTCTGCTCCGGAGTGCCCCCACTGCTTCCCATTTGGGGTCAGTGTTGTGGTCCCACACCCCCACTGCAGCTGTGCGAGGGGTATGGGAGCACCAGAACGGAGCAAAACAAAGCTCGGACAGAACTAGAAAGATAATCTAGAAAGATCATCGTGCTGCCATTCAGTCTCCGCTTTGTTGAGGAAGTTCTTCCAGTTTGGTGGCTTTTCCCCCACAAGCTTTACTTCCTTTCCATACTAACCCTTAAAATTTCAGTGTGTGGTCACTTATACAGTGCACTCATCCATATACTGCAAAAACCCTAAAGTGATTCCTTACAATTTAAAAAAAAAAAAAAGGACTTTTTCCCCTTTGTTCTCCAACATAAGACTAAGAGTAAAGTGACTGGTTGCTGTCCTTGGAAACAACATTCATTTGTTTCAAAGTCTTTGGCTTCCTCTACCCTGGTCTTCAGGCAGAACCTGCCCTGTTGGCCTGCATTGGTCTATCAGGCCTTCTTCCGGGAAGTCCAAGGGCTGATTCTTCCCCCTCGAACAGTGCTTCTCTCTTTTTTTAAAAAAGATTTTATTCACTGCATCAAAAACTAATGATGTATTATATGGTGACTAACATAATAAAATTAAGGAAAGAAAGAAGATCCAAAAAATAAAAAAAAAAAAGATTTTATTGATTTATTTGAGAGAGCACGAGAAGGGGGAGGGGCAGAGGGAGAAGCAGACTCCCAGCTGAGCAGGGAACCTGACCTGGGGACTCGATCCCACGACTCCAGGATCATGACCTGAGCCGAAGGCAGTCGCTTCACCGACTGAGCCACCCAGGTGCCCCTCAGACAGTGCTCCTCCAGTCTAAATGTGCAGCAGCAGACTCACCGAGCAGTATTGAGGGAGCCTCTTCAAAATTCAAGGCCCCAGGAGTCACTGCCCCCTCACCTGACGTTCTGCTTCAGCACGGGGTGGAGCCGGGGGCTTGGGTTTTCAGCCTCTGCTGCAGTGATGGGCTGTCTAAAGGCTGCACTGGGAAAAGCAGGGGCTGCAGGAGAGGAAGAGGCAACAATCCCTCCTCTCGTTCCATGGCTTGGATTATTTAGAACCAACCAACAGGAATAGTACCTGATTTTTGTTTTCACAGGCTCCAGAATAGTATGTTCCTGCCAAAGATCCTGCTTTAGAAGTGGAATTTAACAAAAATATTTGTGGTTATCAGGTTATTTTTTTTTTTAATTGCTTTAGTATTTTTGTTATAATACTCTTAGGTTTTAGTAAGTTGCAGTAACAATTTTTTACCTTAGCTTTGGGTCTTGCTGTCATTACTTTTCCTAGAAGCCTCACCTTGGGGCTAGGTTCCTCCCTCATATAGTGTAAGCCCTAGAATGGATTCCATAATAAATCAGATTCCATGGGTCCCTTCAGGAAGAGCCCCTTGTGTGGGGTGGGTGATGTCTGGCTGAGAGTGGTCCCTGTGTGTGTGTTGGGGGAGAGGGGCCCTGTGTGTATGTGTGTGTGTATGTGTGTGTCTGTGTGGAGTTGGGGGTAGGGGGGCCTGGGTGTGTGTGCTGGAGTTGGGGGAGAGGGGACCTGTGTGTGGAGTTGGGGGGAGCGTGTGTGTGTGTGTGTGTGTGTGTGTGTGTGTGTGTGTGTGTGTGTGGAGCTGGGGACGGGGGCCCTGTGTGTGTGTGTGTGTGTGTGGAGTTGGGGGTGGGGGGATCCGGAGCTTGAACTCACCAGCCTCTGCATTCTAGGGCAGCACGACCACTCGGTGAAAGGCAGCCCACGCTGCCCCGCAGGCCATGGCATCTTTGCTCCGGTTGCCTTGTGGAAGCACCAGCCGCATCTTTAAACCGTGTGGCGGCCCAGCCGGGGACCTCAGACCAGCGTGGAGAAGCCGTGTGCTTCATGGGCCACCTACTTTCTCCTCCCGAGCTGGGAGCAGCGGCACTTTGTCAGGCGGGTGAATCGGCAGCCTCTGCTTTTCCCAGAAAGCTAGAGAACCGAAAATCCTGGACTGAATTAAGTGGCAGTATTTTTGTTTTGCACTTAACTACTACACACACCCACTGTGTAGAAACCCCCACAGATTCAAACAAACTTTATTCTTGTACAACTAATTTTAATCAGTTCTTACTGTAAAATCTGGAGTCAATGCTTTTTTTTTTATAAATAATATATATGATGTATATGAAATGTATATCTATAGTATGTCTGTTCCGAGACAGACAAGACTGCGCATGAAAATGCAGATAAAAGTGGTTTGTAGAAAATCATAAGGTACTGGACTTGGATACACAGCAACTTAGGTAATCATCTGATAGACGAGCAGATGAAAAAGATTTGATTGCCTAAGAACGAGGTCGCAAATCCCTCTTTGCAGAAAAGGTTCCAGAAGGCCGTTCTTTACAACCAAAGAACTTACGTAAGACTGCACGTGTTTGCTGTCCATTCCTGTTTCATGTGTACATATATGTCTGACTGCAAGTTTGGTGCCATATTCCTCTTGGCTACCAGGCCCCCTGTAGCTAGCCGCTCTCTGTCCTGTTGCATAAGCACACTGAAAAACCCCATAGCTATCCTCCACGGTCTTCCACCTGGCCCGGCACCTGCTGATGAGACATGGTACCGGAACTGTGGACACTGCCTGGGCTCTGGCTCCAGCCTCCCTTGTCCCTTGGTTTGGCCTGGCCAGGCAGGTGGGATGCGGTGAGCAGTATTACTGTAGGAAAACACGAGGACACGCCTGGAGTTGGGTTTGGGGAGGGAGGGGGATGTTGATTTTTGTCTTTTTGTGGGTTTTGTTTTTTTTTTTTATTTTGGATTGGTAGGTTCCGTTGTGTGGTTTTGCTGTTGTTACTTTCCTTCCGTTGTTGGGATGAGCTCTACAGGTCACAGGTGCCCGCTCTGCCATGTTTGCGGCAGACGACTGAGTACAGAGGACCCCGCTGTCCACGTCTTCGTTTGCGGAGTTCTGCTAACGGAGGCGTCGAAGGGATGACGTGCGTGCATTGTGACACGAGTACTTTATGCACCTGCTCTGTAGAAGCCTGTGGGATGGGTGTGCATGTACAGCAGGAAATGCCTGTGGGAGAGAGAAAAGGCATACAGCCTGCTGTACCTTTTTCTTTAAGTTCTTAGCACCAGTACATGAGTAAGATTTTGGAGACTAATGAAAAGCTGCTGTTCATGATTTTGTGTATAGTGAGCCGACTGTAGTGTTTTACTATTGTCTGTTTAAAAAAAAAAAACAACTGTAATTTATATCCTTTCAACTTTATTGTATTTAATTGGTTCAGACTGTGTGTGTGTGTGTGTGTGTGTATGTGTGTGTTTTAGAATACAGACTGCCTAATTCAGATTTTAAAACATCAGTGGTTTGTCTTTAATAACTCTGCCATTAGCTGCAGATCTAACTTCCCTTATTCGTATGTATATGCATGTCCCTGTGGCCTGAACAAAAATAGTAACAGCCAACATTCACTGAGGGTTTACTGTGTACTAGGCGCTATTCCCAGCATTTGATACTTATCATCTTGCTTAATCCTCAGAGCAGTGGGTGCCATGGGTCTGCTATTATTAAGTGTTTGATGCTGGAAGACCGAGGGAGAGGGGTGGGTGAGCGGGACGGTGGCACGCTTGCCTCAGTCTCCTCCCCATGTCATGTCTGGTGATGTGTCCTGAAAGAGCAGGCCCCTGAAGGGAGAATGGGGCACCTTCAGAGTGCAGAAGGGCTGGGCCAGTCTCATAGGTTCCAGACTGACCAACCAACGTGACATCCACAGCAGACAGGCCAAGGGGTGTCTGCCCCGTTCACAGCGCTCAGACAAGTCTTCAAGAGAGCAAGTAGTGGTGCTCAGTCACCTGACAACTAGTGGCTAACGACAGCTTCCTGTGAGAGGTTTATCTTAAAATGGTAGCTCACAATGTTTTCAGAAAAATCTCAGTTGTTCGCGGTAGCCTTCTTTTTTTGTTTTTGTTTTTTTAAAGGTTTTATTTATTTGAGGGATGCCTGGGTGGCTCAGTCAGTTGGGCGTCTGCCTTTGGCTCAGGTCATGATCCCAGCGTCCTGGGATCGAGTCCCGCGTTCAGGCTCCCTGCTCGGTGGAGAGCCTGCTTCTCCCTCTGCCTCTGCCTGCTACTCTGCCTGCTTGTACTTTCTATCTTTCTGACAAATAAATAAAATCTTTAAAAAAAAAAAAAGTTTTATTTATTTGAGAAAGAGAGCGCAAGTAGGGGGAAGAGGCAGAGGGAGAAGCGGACTCCCCGCTGAGCAGGCAGCCCGATGCGGGGCTGGATCCCAGGACCCCGGGATCATGACCTGACTAAACTGAAGGTAGACGCTTAACCAACTGAGCCACCCACGCATCCCTGTGGTAGCCTTCCTGAAGAGGTCAAGAATTAGATCTAGCCTAGTCTGGACAGACAAGTGTCTTACATAGACTTCCAGGAGAAAGTAGAGAGCAGGGAAAGCCCAAAGTTGCTTGAATTCCATAGCATAGGATTGAGGGAGGAGAACAGCTATTTAATATTTAAATAAATGATGAGTACAAATGGAATTCAAGACAAAATGAGCAAATTGTCATTCCTTCTGCTAGCATGAGATCGACGGTATTCGGTCATCAACTTTGTCGTTACGACTTGGGAAGAGCAAACTGGTTTTAGCATGTAGGACAGTTAAATACAGGCATGTGTTTAACAGCTAACTTCCAGTATGACTAGTGTCCTAACATTTGTTTATAGTTATTTGGACATACATTTTTATCATAATAAGAATTTTGCCTTGTGTTTCTAGGGCACCAACTTATAGGAAGAATGACTTCATAAAAATACCTTTAGAGTTAAGTAAGAACAAGACAATAATTCTACTTATCCTGCTGTAATCAATACTTATTTTTGAAAATTACAATATTGAGGTTTTTGAACGGTTTGAAAAAAAAAAAAGACAACTAATGACCTGATTGATCTTTATTTCTACAAAGTAAAGCTTTCTGGTCATGTCATTAAGAAGTCCTGAAAGATGATGTAGTTGAATAAGAGTTCTTGCTTGCTTTTCTGGAACAAAAGGAACCCAAAACAGAAAGGATGCTACCAATACACAGTCATGTGGAGAACGTTTGTGTTCACCCTTGAACTTCTTACTAACATGAGTTTCTTTCCATGATATTGAGCCTACCTCCTACATTGTTTTAAAAGATTTTTATTTATTTATTTGACAGAGCACAAGGGGGAGCAGGAGACAGAGCAGGCAGAGGGAGAAGCAGACTCGCCTCTGAACAGGGAGCTCAACATGGGACTCAATCCCAGGACCCTGGGATCATGACCTGAGCTGAAGGCAGACGCCTAACTGACTGAGTCACCCAGGCACCTCTACCCTACATTTAAAAATAACAACAAGTCAGCCTGTGGTATTCAGGCGTTCTAACCCAGAGGGAAGGCAGTGTTCTAAAGCTCAACAGTCTCCCACCAGAGAGCTGAGTGTTACTGCCCCATCCCATGAGTGGGGAACCCGGAATGCAGTGAACCCTGTAGGAATGCCAGGCCGGCAGGCGAGCTCTGCCCGGCAGAACATTATGAACTGGAATGAAAACAAAAGCCAAACTTCTAAAATTCAACTCTGCTAATCCTCTGAGATGAGGAGAAAGATCACTGTAGATTCCGCCCCCCCCAATACAGTGAGTTAATTTCAGTTGAAATAAAACTTAGTCTTTATCTTTCAGATGTTCTGGGGCACACACTCACCTCTGTGTACTCTTGGAAAAACAAGTTATTTTTGCCCTCTGTGAGGCTCAGTGTCATTGCACACAGTTCTTAGAAGATGGTAGCTCCAGAAGATGCTTCGGGTGCCCCCAGTCACCATAATGTGAGCCCAGTTGGCAACAACCACCATCTTGGAGCTTATCATAGGTTTACTCTGCAACAGAGTGTGACCGAGAAAGGAACTCTTAAATCCTTATGGGACCCTATTCACGAAGACATTGAGAGGCTAATAGAACAATGAATGTTTTATAAAGAAAAAGGTAAGTTTGAAATTGGAGTCTCTGGAAGAAAATCAACTTGGAGAGGGGGAAAAAAGATCCAGTTTGGTTTTAGAATAGTATAAACCAACTCAACCCTTTCACAATACCTAAAACACCCGTAACTACTTAGATTTTAAAACTGGAATACATGGGTGTTTGTAACAACTTCAAACCATTATTTTGGCTCTTCAGTCTCCTAAATATCTGCCTGAACCAAACCATACACACATGTCCTTACGTTTCTTTGTTAGAGTTTGTCTTTTCTTAGTCTAGCATGGGCTTTTGGAAATAGCACAGTAGAGTAGATGTATTTTTCTTTGACTAAGTATCCGAGCCAAAAACCACACCTTCACGTAATTAATTAGTCACCCTTGTTGATCCAGGATAATCTGTACCTAGTGCAGATTATTATTTGTGGTTTGTCAACCACAAACAAGCCAAGCTGCTTAAAAACACCAGAGTTAAAATACTAGCCACAGCAACTGCCAAGAAAGCATTTCACCAAGAATGAGGCTGTAAGATCTAGCCACAGTACCACTTGCATTCAAGACTGTCCTGTTGACGCTATGAATGCCAGTTTCCCACATTTTCCCCTTATCCTTTTATATGTAGAGGTATATATTTGTAAGAAAGCTAGAGTATTAGTTACCTATTGCTGCAAAATGAAGTACCCTTCAACTCGGCAGCTTAAAACAGCCATAACGATCTCACGCGATTTCCATGGGTCCAGAGTTCAGGAGTAGGCAGTTCTAGGTAGTTCTGGCTGCAGTTTGCTCGGAAGTGGTAGTCAGGATGTCAGAGCTGCAGTCATCATCTGAAGGCCTGCTTGGGACCACTTCTTCACCGAGTAGACCCCTTCGTGCTGTTTGAGTGTCCTCATGATGTGGCGGCTGGCTTCCCCAGGGAGTGGTCCCGTAGGGCACACAGAAGCCACCTTGCCTTTTATGACCTGGACTCAGAAGTCCACTCTGTCACTTCCATCACATTCTACTCATTAAAGTGAGTCCCTAGAACAGACCCACTGAAAGGAAGGAAATTAGGTTCTTCCTTTTGAAAAGAGGAATGTCTAAGAATTTGCAGACATATTTTTAAATCTCCGTAACTAATTAGGGGTTACATCGCTGAGGCCTTGGGATAAAGCAAAGCTAACTAGAACTTATGAGTGAATGTAGGAATTCACCTATTTATATAAGCAGTAGGGTCAAAAGGAAAGCCACATTTTCATGGAATAAAAAAGATATTAATAAAAAAGTGAAAATAGGATCATTTGAATGTGTGAGTTATAGCCAATAATTGAACTGAACCAATATTCCTGGCAGAGGCGAATGATCAGAAACTATTATGTTTCTATTTATAGCTATATTTTCACATTTGATTCTTTCCAGATTTGCTTCATTAGAGGCACAAGCACCTGAATATGTTTGATGGTTTTCCTCAGAATAGGAAATGAATCTTAGGAAATTCAATCACATCTTATTAAGGCAAGTAATGTTAATGATTAGCTTTAGAAATAAAACTGCCAACAAAAAAAGTTTATAGGATTTTTTTTCCTGAAGATATTGACAGTGGTAGGATTATTTTATTATTAAAATGTGATACATACCCAAATGTTTGGATATAAGCAAAAGGGGTTCAAAGCTCTTGAAGCTTATAAAATGAAACTTTTTTTAAGATTGATTTCTTTTAGGGTGCCTGGGTGGCTCAGTTGGTTGGGCGACTGCCTTCGGCCCAGGTCATGATCCTGGAGTCCCGGGATCGAGTCCCACATCGGGCTCCCTGCTCAGCGGGGAGTCTGCTTCTCCCTC